GACTGTCCGTGGAAATAAATATCCCTCCTTTCCTTCCTGTAACATGGTCCTGCAGTGTTGGTTAAAATGGCAGTGGACGAAATTCATTGCTCGTAAAATTCTTGTTTATGGCTCTCGCACAAGATTTTATATTGTTTTGAAAGGTGGTTTATGGTGGGCTGTACGGGAATGCATGATCAGTTATATCAGACCAGTTGGGGGGAGGGGGTGTTAAAGGGAATATATACATCATTTGCTTTTGCTGTAATTTTCAGAAATGGATGGAATTGGGGGGTTGGAAATATATAGCAAATATAGTTACACTGACTTTTTTGAGGTTTTGGGTTCGAAAATGCTATAAAAACCAAGAAAAAACAATCATTTTCCTGTAGTCTGGTTCCCTGACTCCATTTAAGAAGAAACGGAGCAGCTTACATATATTGGGGAATTGTAAGGTCAGGGAACCAGTCTAGCTGGCTTGTACCCGTTCATAGGTGTGTAATCAATTGCAATCAAGTGCGATGGTCAACTGGGGCCAGTATTTGAAAAAAAGCCAGTTTTTTCCAACGCTGATCGGCCGATCAGCGTTGGAAATTGATACAAAAATACCACTTTTCTTGAAAATGACAGTATACCAGGTGCCATGATTTTACAGGATGCTTTACACTGTCATTCACTAACAGTCCAGCAAGGTATTTCAAAATGATTTGGTAGTTTTATTTTTTGATTTTTGCAAATGTTTTATTTTTTGATTTTTGCAAATGTTGTATTTTCCCTTTAAACACTGCTCAGGACTTCAGCCGCTGAATAATGTTATGATGCTAGTAAAATGGGGACAAAATATTAAATGGATTATGGAATGCCAAAGTTCCAATGTAGAATACAACAAAAAATATCATAGATTTCCAAGTTTTTCCGGGGTGGGGGGGGGGGGAAATGCCTCGATCGGGACTCCGCCAGCATCAGTCTTCACTGAAAAATCTATTCCCCCCTCCCCCTTCGCCATCCTGAAACCTAGATCCGCCCATTGAAACTAATAAGCCATTTGCGAGTTAAATTTGAATAAAATCTGGAACGCTGACTTAATTACAATGCTTTGCACGTTTTAACCTAGCATTCTCCTGACCAAAGAGACTGTTACTATATCACGTGATTCGGGGCAAGCCTTATGCTAGCAACCCCCAGCTCCGGCATGGTCTGGTGTCTTTGTATCATTCTCACCCATTGTGAACAATGTATTGGTGCTGAGCGTCTCTTACGTAACTATGCAAGAGCTTGCCCCGAATCATGTGATTAGCAACAGTGTCTTTGGTCTGGAGAATTCAAAGTTAAAATGTTCCAAGCATTCTGAGCAAGTCAGTGTACCAGATGTTTTTCAAATGTAAATCCCAAAGGGTATACATGTAGGTTACTCGCAAATGGCTTATTGAACTAATGATATCGTAATATTGCAACTTGTTAATGTTATAAATTGACCAAGACAAGTTATATAACCTTCGTAAAGGTGTTCTAACATGTCTAAGAGTGCACAGAATTATGTGCAGTTAGTTCAGAATGGCTATTCACTGGAAGTCTTCTTGCATCTGGTCTACACAATGGGTCTGGGATTAGCCATATGGATTCATTGGTGATACGGGGTAATCCTGTATGATAGCACTGCCCGGCCCTCTGCACCAGTCTACAACCAATATAAATGTATGCTGACATTCGGTCAGGAGGGTTTCTTTTCTTGGAGTTTCGAGTTGACGTTTTGAGTTTCGAGTTGACTTTTTGAGTTTCGAGTTGATTTTTCGAGTTTCGAGTTGACTTTTGGAGTTTCGAGTTGACTTTTTGAGTTTCGAGTTGACTTTTTGAGTTTCAAGTTGATTTTTTGAGTTTCGAGTTGATTTTTTGAGTTTCGAGTTGACTTTTTGAGTTTCGAGTTGATTTTTTGAGTTTCGAGTTGACTTTTTGAGTTTCCAGTTGACTTTTTGAGTTTCGAGTTGACTTTTTGAGTTTCGAGTTGACTTTTTGAGTTTCGAGTTGATTTTTCGAGTTTCGAGTTGACTTTTTGGTCAGTCGGTCAGTCAGATAGATGATGTTCAAAGACGACACAAGGCTGGCTCTCTGGGACCAGCACTGTTCATTGTTATTCAACCTCGATGGCATTGTACGCATGATTTACATAGTGTATGCAGTAAAGTCTATTTATTTAATTTGCCTTTTATATAGCTCATCAGTGTTTAGTTTGATGCACAGTGCCCCTGCCAGTATTTGTTTTACTAGTATTATAAAACTCCCCAAGGTTCGTAGCCGGCTGTTATCACATAAAGTCTTTGCTTACCGGGCTGTATTAATCCAAACTGATAATGGAGTATTACATGACCCAGTTTTTCATAAGGTCTTCGTTTTCAGTGCCAGTGTTTTGGGGCCAAGTGACATGAATTTTCTGTACCCAAAAAGTGCAAAGGGAAACGAGGCAGAGACGTTGAAACCCTGCGCACAGTTGTGACAAAAACGCAGTGTAAATACACATCCGGGCAACAGTTCCTGCGCGAATGTTTTGACCGTTGCTAAGTTATCTTTGGACAGTTTAGGACTCGACTCTATGCCGAATCGGGAATGAAGTTTCGTGGTGGAATTCTCTATGTACCGGTATGTTATGTATGTAATTGTGGACATATATATTTTTAACCGTAACCCTGCTGAATCCAACAGGATCCAACTATGTCACATACCCGATGGAGCCTGTTGGATTGAGCAGTTAATCCCTTGTGTACATTCCTGATGCAAAATGTTGGATTCAGCTGGCAACTGAACCGCATTATAACGCATTGTTGGACTCGGTTGGATTCAGCAGACATCTGAAAAAAATGAGGCACAGTGGATTGAACAGGAAAGTCCGGTTGGACTCTGTTCGATTTAGCAGGGTAAGTCCTGAGGAAGTACTAGGGGGTTAGGGTTGTAGCACTCACATTTTAGTGCTGAAAGGACCAAATGAAGTGATTTTTTTTGTTCGCCTGGATGAAATCACTCAAGGTCTATTCTGTTGGAATCGTTTCTTGCAGTTGTGTGAGTACTTCTTCATGGGATGTGCCCTAGCTGTTTTTTTCGGAGCCCGTAAAAGACAAATATCCCGCGTTATCCATTTCCTGCGGTGGCACAAGGCTCGCATGAGTGGCGTTCAGGTGGCACGCACGCACTCCGTGCTCCTTCGGCCAATAGGCATATTAGCAAATTGCGCATGCGCCTTGTCTTTAAGTACGCGTGACACGTGAGCGTGACACCACCGCAGTAAATAGGTTCTAATTCTGATCGCTGGATTCCACTGTAGTTCAGCAGTAATACGTGTATATATGCACATGTATGCCTACAAGCTCGAGAAAAGAAAAAGCAGACCATTTTTAATCATGATTTTATATTGTCTGTATTTACTGTAGGTTGGCAGTTATTTCTATAATACCTTTTTCTTCGTGCATTGTACTTATTACATTTCACCAGACTCATACATGTACAGGATCTGGTTCATTCCATAACAAAGTTTGGTCCTAAAAGTTTGACCTTTCTTGGTGTTTAAAACCTGACTTGTGCAGTTTGCCATTCAAGTATCATAGAAACTGACTTTTTTTGTATTTGTTTGGCATACACTTTGCTTTACATATTTCTTGGAGATAGAAGGCAATTAGGCCTATAGAGTGCTGTCTGAATTACACAATCTTATCCATAGGGGGAGGGGGTATGTCAGATAAACATGGACACTCAAAAAATTGGACCCCAAATTTATAGAATGACCTTAGAGCTATATTAAATTACCAGAGCGCTGACTCAATGTACAAAGTGATGCCTGCTGATGGGCGCATCCATGTTTGTACACAAATCTATGGAAAACTCAAAAATTTGTTGACTACCGGTATTTGCATACATATGCGTTATCAAAGCCGATGCGGCCAAAACTGAAACGCACAATCAGTAAATGAGCATGTATCCACTGCAGGTGATTTTTGCCATGACATTTTTTTTACTGTCGTGACACGCTTAAAGATATAGTCCATCATTTGTAATTTGTGCATTTTGTTCGTTTGAAGCAACAAAGTGCTCAAAATTTAAAGAAGGGTACTGAACAACTAACCTGATGAAGTTTCAGCTCAGCTTCAGCTGAATATTCTGAGAAAAACAACATTCTAGGATCTTGATTTTAAATCAAAAGTTGCTGAATCATGTTTTGAATTTGGCCTGAATTCAGCGTCCGAGAAACGTTTTCATTAACTGATTGCAACTACGCGATGTCGCGCACCGATCCGACGAATTATAGCAACTGCATGCTCGTGTGCGTCGTGTCAATGCTTGCGCGCACTTCACCGAATAAACAAACGAACTACTAACGGAAATTTCCAACGGTGCTACTTACCGGTACATGTCTTAAAACGCACCGTTGGAAAGGCCTTCTTTCGTTGATTTCTTTAAAATGACAGCTTGCCAGAAAGAATAATTTCATAGGTAGTTTAGTCCCCTTACTATCTTTCAACCAAGTATGTTTTCAACAATAATTACGCCAGTTACTTTTCGGATAGCTGCAAATGATGGACTCTGGCTTTAAAGTTGTTTGCGTACCAGTGTGTTGTTCTTACGCGTTGCATTTAGAGTATACTTTCATAATTCAGTCCATCTAATTTCATAATGTTCTACAAACATGCACATGAATTCAAAATGTCTGTGCCCAGGACGGCTTCAGTGCGTCTCTTCGTGCAAGAATGAGGCATTAGCTCTTTAGTAATTTAATAGGGCCTATATCTCTGTTGGCTTGACCCATGTGTACATTGCACTATTTGCAACTGAGAGACTGTACAAAAATGGGCCTAGAAGAAAAAATTGTGTTTCCCAAAAATAAAAAAAATATAGGACGGATGTTTAAAAACGCACAGATAAAAGCTGACCATATTTTTCATTTCCCTGAACAGTCAGACAGTATGATTGTTGACTGTACTATGAAGAGCAAGTTGTTAAACTTCTAGTTTATTTTTCTTTTCTTTTTTCTCTTGCAGGAGGGTGCTATGAAACATTGGAAAGAGGAAAAAGAGAACGGTGCAATATACAATGTCTACCTCAAGAAAGTCCGCTATAGACACTCGGTCCCGTCCATCGTAGAAGGGGTAAATATTAAAATTACATTCATAAATACCTAAGACAGTTTACCCATTCCCATTGGTCACTTGAGAGCCCATCACGTTGCACAGATGATAAAGACATGGCTGGCTGGTCTTAAACACTTTTCCAGTGTCACATGGAATTTGGACTCTTATGAAATCCTGTGCCTCTCACCGTTTTATTGGTTGAACGTTCACATAGACCTGCGCAATACTACCAGTGCGTCAGAATTTTATAGTCCCAAATTCACAACGCAACGCCCCAGGTGCATTCTGCGCACCATCGCGCAGTACGCGCGACGAGCGCGCCAATCTCCATAAAAGGAGTTGTTAAAATCTTACTCGCCAGCTGGACACTCCATTATTTAGCTAGAGGGGTGTTTAAAAAAACCCTGAAGTGAAGTTGTTGAACAAAATTGGGTTTTTTTTACCGAAAAGTGTAGATTTGTTTGAACGAAAAGGTATTTATGAATGGGAATAAGTATGTGCTTGGTCGGTATTAATCACTCTGTTCAAGATTGGTTGGAGTCTGGATGCAGATTACCCTCGCCTCCGGCTCGGGTCATTATCAGCACCCAGACTCCAAGCGGTCTTAAACAGAGTGATTAAAACCTCCCCAGCACACATTTATTCCCTTATTGATTTAGCCGACAGCAATTTATTAATGATCATTTCGAAATAGTGAAAATTTCGGAATTTGAGGAATTATATCAAAAATGCGTCAGATTATCATCAAAATGAAATTAATTAAGGCAAGGAACTTGGTCGCAGTGTCCCAAAATGTTGTTGTGATCAATTGACCATTGTGCAGTAATACGTGACTAAACTCATATTCATAGGGGTTTATGCCAAGGATAAGGAGTATCTGCACAATCCAAAAAAAAATAAAAATTGACTTGGTTTTGTGGGTTTTTTTAAATTTCCAAAACAGTGAGACAGACATTATTTTTGGGACATACTGTATATTCCAGCACTCCCATCCGAACAGTGGGGGTGCTACAGCACCCTCCCCCCCCCCCCCTGTCCCGCGGGCTTGCCTGACGTCACGCCAAATTGGATACTTTCCACAATTATGCAAGCATTTAGGCCGGCTAATGCGATTACTTTTGATTCACATCTCACCGGCACGTGCGCTCAGACCGCAAAAAAATCAAATTCCTTTCCCCCACCCCTCACAAAAAAATTTGGTTCGAGTAACGAGCTGGCAGAGTGTTCAACCTTACGTGGGTCGGATCCAGTGCGGAGTGATCTAATTTAACAAACAGGCGTCACTGTAATGAGAGCATAATGAAGCTAAATGCGAGGAAATTGGATTATTTTTGTTTCCTCGGTATTTGAGGATAGTCTGTATACGCACATGCCATATGGAGGCTTTGTTGTACAAGTACATGTATGCATGAGGATATTATGTAAACGCATCAGTGAGTTCTGGAATGGAGCAAAGGGCGTCACCAGAGTAATTTGAAAGGGGGGGGGGTTTGGCAAAATTGCCGACGGATCACTTCTTGCTGAAAGGTAGACAAGGTTTTTTTTCTAGCCACTCGGCTGTCGCAAATCAAAAATTGGAGGAGGGGGGTGGGCGGGGGCCGGATACTAACTAACTATTTGGGGTGCAGTTGGACACTATCAGACAATAGGTGGCACTTTTCGTTGTTGCATATTTCCTGACCAACACAAGATTTTTCTGACAGGACGACGATTTTTCCAACTAAAAACGATTGACGGGAAGGGGGTCGGTGTCACAAATCGAGTGGCTTTCACACATTCCCAACCCCCTAAAAATAATTGGGTATTGAGAGCAGTTTCAACCTTACTGGTATACATGTACATGTATGTACATGTACATATAGGTTGTAGGTGGAGTGCAGTGGCCTCTTGGTCTGGAGTATTGAATTTGTGGCCTGCGGGTTATTCTGCAGGTTGTGGGTTCTAGTCCAGCCTGGGGCTATGGTGCGTGTGCCCTTGGGCAAGGAACTTTGTCATGCATTGTTTCTCCCCACCCAGGAGTAAATGGGTACCTGTGAGGGCAGAGATGGTTATTGTGATTGATTTTAGCTGCTTCGGAGCTGTATACTCCCCAGGGAGTTGAGATTGTCTTTGGAATGTTTCTTTGGCCCAATGAGCAGGGTAATAATGATGTAGCGCCTTGGGCACCAATACTGGTGGATACCTGCGCTTTATAATACACAGTATCATTAAATTATAGATGGTCAAGTGTCTATCAGTGACAATAACGGCTTGTAATACAGATGTTTTGCATCAAACAGTTTAGTACCAGTATGATCTTTAAGTTTAAGCCAAGTAAGCTATTTGATAATAATTTGATAAGTTACTTTTGGGATAAATGCAAATGCCTTTAAGGCCAAAAAAAAAATAAGTCGGTCTCTGGTCAGCGCGCGCGTCGATTTTAAGCATGCGCATCGATTTTTTTTTTCCAAAATGTTCCGCGGTAGCTCCAACAGCGCCCTCTATTTCCGCACCTCAATTTTTTTTTACCAAAGAGCACCAAGGAATGGGAAATTGCACCAAGGCAAATGATCGAAAGCACCAAGGCAAATTATGTAGGCCACCAATGTACATGAGGATACCAAAAAAAGCAAAATAGTACACACAGCGAAGTTTTATTTGCAGCGAGTTGTACGGTCTCGGACCTTCGAGAATTCACGAGGTTTCGCGAGCGTTCAGCAGTGCCCCTGGAAGATCTACGAGAAACCCGTTTTCGCGGCAGTGTTGGGCCAACATGGAGGGGTGAGTGAAAGAATATTATACCCACCTTGTCTGTTCAATCAAAGCTGAAGAAAAAAAAAAAAAGGAAAAAAAAAAAAAAAAAAAAGCCGCGTGGCCGCGTCAATTCCGGAACTTTGGTCTGACCAGAGACCGAATATTTTTTTTCCTGGGGCTAACCAGAGTAACGCACAAATATAAATAAACTGTGTGATATCTTATAGGCGACCCCGGAACAGAACTCGGGCTTGGAATGGGAGACAGTGAAAGTCAAGACCATCAAGGCGGCACCCCTGGAGAAACTAGCGGAGCATCTACCAGTAGCGCTGCAGGAGATGGACTCCAGCTACATCAACATCTTCTTCTGCACGTACCAGACCTTCACCAACCAGATGGAGGTGCTGAAGATTCTACTGGATCGGTAAGTCTGAACTCGCCACTCATATCCCTTCCAAAAATTCCATCTTATGAATATTAATGCGGTACCCGCTGCTATGTACATCAGATTCGAACCAGCCAACCGATCCCGTTAGCTCGGTGGTCAAGTGGTTAGACATCTGCACTAGAAAGCAGGAGGTCATGGGTTAGAGTCCCACCCGAGTGATTTTTTCCAACTTTCACTGAGTATACAGTGTTTATACATCGGTGAAGGGCAAAACGTAATTTGATCATATATCCCTTCACCTTAAACTGACCGGCAGAGTTTTAAAAGGTTTCGCATGTTGCTCTGAAAAAATTGACTTCCCATTAGGAAGGTTAAGAGCCTTGATGGCTAATGTTCAAGAACTCTCAGTCGGTTGTTTTTTGTGTCTTGCTTATTCAGGGTGAGAAAAAGAAAACGAAAACCTAATGTCGGGACTACTGTTTTAGTGAAGTTTTGCATGTAGCGTTTTCAAAATCCAGGATATGAAAGCCCAATTCATAAGCTTTCTTTTAGTACAAGAATTATTCAAATTACTCATGTACTTTTCAAGTTACAGTTCTAATTATAAACACAACCACTGTTTTAAAGTCCTATCCACAAAAAAGGTGTGCGTACGTTTAGCAAAACAAAAAACAATTCACACACATCCCTATGTGATTTGTTTTCGTTTTGATGAAAGAACACTTACCTTTTTGTGATCCGTGGACGGAACTTTAAAACGGTGGTTGTGTTTAAAATCCTGTAACTTGAAAATTACATTAGTGATTTGAATGATTCTTCTACTAAAAGAAGGCTTATGAATTGGGCTTTCATATCCTAGATGTTGAAAGAGCTACATGCAGAACTTCACTAAAACAATGGTCCCGACATTTGGGTTTCTGGGTTTTTTTTACTCACCCTGTATATCTTTCTTCTGTGTATACCCTGCAGGTACAAGAACCACAAAATCGGCAATTTATCGAAGGAAAACACCCAAAAGTAAGTGAAATTCAGACTTTTCAAAATAGGTTACAAACAGTTCAATTATTTAATGAAAATGAATACTCGCAGCTGAGAAGCTGAATTGCGAAGGACGCGGCTACAACGTGGTCGAGCCGCAGGCATGTAAAGGCGCCTTAGGCAGCCGCCATACGACCCATGTATGACCACGAAGCACAGCCAGAGATCGAAAGTGTTTGATTTTTGCAGAGGGAGGAAAACTGGAGAGCCAGGAGAAAAACCCTCGTGGCACAGGAGTGAACCAACGCACAACTTTACTCACATATATGGTCCGAGCGGGAATCGAACCCGGGCCACATTGGTAAGAGGCAAGCGCTTTACACACCCGCCACCCATGCCACACGTGTAATAGGCGATTCCAACATTATGTAATGCCAGTGACAGAGCATTTTAAGAGCTCCGCAGTGAATAAACCTGAAAATGTATTTTTCAAATCTTATACACCCATCATCTCATAATGGTCAAGGAGATTGCAGACTATGAGTTTGGATAATTTTTCTGAATCATTAACCCTATAATTCCGTAGACCTTTTTGTTGGGATGCAACGTCAATCCTGCAAAATCCTCCAACTGCCTCCATGTTATATAGCCTCAATCCTGCAAAATCCCCCAGCAATCACTGTCAATATGTTGAGGCTGAGCTAGTGACATCCTGGAGCAGTGTGGAGGATTTAAAGATGTAGTCCATCATTTGTAATTTGTGCATTTTGTTCGTTTGAAGCAACAAAAGTGCTCAAAATCTAAAGAAGGGTACTGAACAACTACGGTAACCTGATGAAGTTTCAGCTCAGCTTCAGCTGTATATTCCGAGAAAAACAGCATTCTAGGATCTCAATTTCCAATCAAAAGTTGCTGAATCATGTTTTGAATTGCGCCTGAATTCAGCGTCCGAGACACGTTCTCGCTGAGCCGATTGCAGCTACGCGATGTCGTGCGCTGATCCGACGAATAATAGCAATCAGGGGTGCGTGTGCGTCATGCCAATGCTTGCGCGCTTCGCCGAATAACAAAACGAACTACTAATTTAAATTTTCCTACGGTGCATCTGAAGAAGCACCGTTGGAAAGGCCTTCTTTCGTTGATTACTTCAAAATGACAGCTTGCCAGAAAGAAAAATTTCACAGGGAGTATAGTCCCCTTACTATCTTTCAACCAAGTATGTTTTTCAACAATAATTACGCCAGTTACTTTTCGGATAGCTGCAAATGATGGACTATAGCTTTAAAGCATAATCCAGGCCTATATTTATGCACGGCTGAGCAAAAACAACACAAGGTCTAGCCCAAGACCATGACACAGTGCATCCTCCGAAATCAGCAACACACTTTTGCCATGTAGCCTCAATCCTGCAAAATCCTCCATTTTGCAAAGAGGATTTTGGAGGATTTGGGAAGGTCAGGCCGGGTTAATAAGATATATGGTTAATTGGCTCTGTCACGGACATTACACTTCCTTTCATAGCACTGGAATTACCCTATTGCAAACCAGCGTGTACTTTTACTATGACTAGAATGCACCTGATAAGGTAGTGTACAGGAAGTACATGTTGGTGGTCTCGAGTTTCAAGGCACTTGAATGTATTTCCTGTGGGAAGAAATACATTCAAGCCTGGTTTTCTCTTGCAGAGATAAGTTTTGTACGTGTTTTCCACAGATAAGCCCAATGTAACTTCCTTCCAGGAAATAGAGTCCCATGGTAAATTCTAAATGTTAAAGTTTACTCTTTGCAAATTCGCCTGAAATACCAGAGAGATCGTTCATTTTTGTCCTGTAGTATCAAGTACAAACTGTGATTTGTCCTCGATGTTTGCGCACTGTCAAAGTGAAAGAATGCAAAACTTTCAAAATTTTTCCAAAAAAATCTTCCCAAAATTGTTGAAAATTTTTCTGAAAAACGAGATCACACAGGATATTTAATTTCTTTCGAGATTTTTAGTCCCCCCCCCCCCAAAAAAAAATCTGTGGGGAGTGTGGCCTATTGGTTACAGTTCATGACTTCGTGACTCATGATCAGGGGATCAGGGGTTCGAATCCAGCTGCTGGTCATATGTTGTGTCCTTGGGCAAGCCACTTTACCCCCACTTGCCTCTCTCCACCCAGGAGTACAAATGGGTACCGGCATTAGCTGGGGATTAACCTGCGATGGACTAGCATCCCATCCAGGGGGAGTAGAATTATTCTCAGTCATTTCATGCTACTAAAACCGGAGATAAACGCCAGCCTGATGGGCCACATGGGTAACATTTGTGCTGAAATAGCTGTAACATAGTGATTTGTACCTAAAATGACATCACAGTTTTGCTCATGAATATGGAAATTGGCATTAGCATAAAAACCAAAAGGGCACCAAAAGGCCCTTGAAAATGGCAAACGAACATTGAAAATGGGGTTAAATGGGACACAACGGTGCGTTTTCAAGGACTGCATTAAAAAACTGGGCCCTTTAAAGGGAAAATACAACATTTGCAAACATCAACAAATAAAACTACCAAATCATTTTGAAATACCTTGCTGGACTGTTAGTGAATGACAGTGTAAAGCATCCTGTAAAATCATGACACCTGGTATACTGTCATTTTCAAGAAAAGTGGTATTTTTGTATCAATTTCCAACGCTGGTTGGCTGACCAGCGTTGGAAAAAAACTGGCTTTTTTCCAAATACTGGCCCCAATTGACCATCGCACTTGTTTGCAATCAATTACACACCTATGAATGGGTACAAGCCAGCTAGACTGGTTCCCGGACCTTACAATTCCCCAATGTATGTAAACTGCTCTGTTTCTTCTTATATGGAGTCAGGGAACCAGACTACAGGAAAATGATTATTTTTCTTGGTTTTTATAGCATTTTCGAACCCAAAACCTCAAAAAAGTCAGTGTAACTATATTTGCTATATATTTCCAACCCCCCAATTCCATCCATTTCTGCAAATTATAGCAAAAGCAAATGATGTATATTCCCTTTAAGCCTTAAACTTGGCCAAAAATTTGACTTAGATGACTGCCTGACTCTGGAACTACATGTAGTTAATACTTGCAGAGTCTTGTTTCCATATGAATTTCAGCGCCCATGGCAATGAAAGATTAGTGTTCTTAGTTGAAAGTGTTGAGGTTCCTAAACAAATTGGTCTTAGGGCCAAGTTCTAGTCTCGGTGCCATTTAAGTGCACTGCCTGCAGCAATGAACGCTTTGTGTTCTTTAGTCTGCAGTGTTGAATATCGTAAACAAGGGTATATCTAGCACCACATACATGTGTACTAGTGATTGTATTTCATCCCAATGGGATACAGTGATATTTCCTCTGAGGTGATTTTTCAAGGTACAAGGTGTTCAGCTTACAGGATTTCCTGGTTCCTGAGCTCCACCTCAGTTCGATAGCCCCCCCCCCCTCCAACAACAAAAAAAAGACACCAAAAAAAAGACAAAACAATTGTCAAAAAAATGCCATCATTTGTCAATATATCTTACAGGATTCCTAGCTACTCTGGGATATCAGGGAAAAACCTTAGAAATGAGTTTCCATTTTTCCAGACAGGGAAATCTGATGAATTGTTAGGGAAAAACACCAAAAATCAGGGAAAAACTCAGAGAATTTGACATTGACCCAGAAGCTGAAGGTTCTCGCCAGTTTGGCGTATGTGCGTCTTGTCATGCTTGTGCTGTGAGTCCAAGTTGTGTTCATTAAAGGGAATGTACATCATTGGCCTTTGCTGTAATTTTCAGAAATGAACTATTTGAGGGGTTAGTATAATAGATCAAATATTGTTTAACTGACATGTTTGAAGTTTTGTGTCCGAAAATGCTGGAAAAACCAAGAAAAATAAAAATGTTTAAGTAGTCTGGTTCCCTGACTCCACTAAAGATAAAATGGATCAATTTATAGATGTCGGAAAATTGTAAGGTAAGGGAACCAGTCCAGCTGGCCTGCACCCATTCCAGAACATGTAACCAATAGCAAACAAAACTTGGACCGAAAAAATTGTAAATCTGGAGCAGTAGTTGAAAAATAGTTAGGTTTTTCCAACGGTGGTCGGCCGACCATTGTTGGAAATGTATACAAAAATAATATTTTCTTGAAAACGACTTGACACCAGGTGCCATAATTTTACAGGATGCTTTAGACTGTCATTTACCAACATCCTAGTAAGGTGTTTCATAAAAACTTGGTAGTTTTATTTTTCGATGTTTGCAAATGTTGTATATTCCCTTTAAACTGACTGGCCATGGTAACTGAATATTACACATCTCTAATTGGCTGTGCTACATGTATCAGTACCTTTAACAACCTTTTTGAACCCTAAATTTGCAGAATGGCTCGTATTTCTAGCAAAAAAAACCCACCAAATCACGAATCCTTTTTAGTTTCCCAATAGTCCCCATTACATGTTGTATATTCCACAAATTACCAATGGAAATTTCCTGTGATTTTGCAACAGTGGTTGCAATGAGTTGGTTAAACTTTCGTTCCCTATCGAGTGCGTAATTGTCCTTGATGTGGTGTCAAAGTTCCGGATCTTGGGTTCTGTGGATATCCTGCTGTAAGTAGGGCAACTTTCTGGCATTGTTTTTGAAGGATGGTTTATATTGCGGATGTATGCAACAAGTCCGCGATCTTGCACATAACTTTGTTTGTACACATCATTCTCTCAATTTTTGAAACTGAGTTAAAATCCACAGATAAATGATTCTGACAAAACTCGAGTTGCGATGAGGCCAATCACAAGTCTTATCATAAGCAAATTGTAAATTAATCATAAGCAAATCATAAGCAATCACAAGTAAATCACAAGTTAAGCACAGTTCCATCGCAAGTCAGTGACATGCCAGTCACAAGACTTTCACAAAGTAAATCACAAGAAAACAGCAAGTCAATCACAAGTCAATCACAAGACAATTGCAAGCCATTCACAAGTCAATCGCAAGTCAATCACAATTAAATCATAGGCCAATCTGTGGTTAGTTGCAGGTTAATCACAAGCAAATCACAAGTTAATCACAAGCCTATCACAAGCAAATCACAAGTACATCACAAGCCAATCACAAGTCAATCACAAGCCCACTAACAAAACACATCGTAAGCTGTTGTTCAGAAGTCAAATACAAGTCAATAGTAATTAAGTCATAAGCCAGTCACAAGCCAATCACACATCAATCATAAGCCAATTACAAGTACATCACAAGCCAATCACAAGCCAGTAACAAGTAAATCACAACGCAGTAACAAGACAAATCGTAAGCCGTTCTTATGTCAAACACAAATGTATTCACGATTTAGTCATAAGTCAGTCACAAGTCAATCACAAGTCAGTCATCAGCCAATCACAAGTACATCACAAGCCAATCACAAGTCAGTCACAAGTCAATCACAAGCCAGTCACAAGCACATCTTATACTGCTCTCAAGGCACAAGTCTGTTACAAGTCGATCACTAGCCCCTCCCAAAATAAAATTGTCTAGATAGATCTTCCAATTTATTATGGAAGGTGTACAAATACTTCAAATTTAAATGTACTCCATAGATACAATATTCCATCATTCAATATTTCACTATTGTGGATGGAAATTAATTCAGTTTTGCAAAACAAATTCTGAGAATAGATGATTCAACAAAACTCTTGATCTACATGTATATGATTCACAGTGCAATGATGCACATAACATTCTGTCCTATTAAACACTCAGGAAACAGAGTGTTTATTTTAAAAGTTGGTCTGCCGGTTGGAGTACTCTCATGTTCCGGCTGTCAGAATAATATGGTTGTGTGGTTAATGCATGTGACACTATTATCTTATTGGTCTGTTGCAACATGTACAAGTTTCCGTGTTTGACTTTTAGCTGACCCTGGAAATTTGCTCTAGACTACAGATATGGTTAGTTATGATATTACTCACCATGGGTCCATTGACTATTGTTTTTTAGAAAACTGAAAAATTTGTTCAGTACCATAATTAAAGGGAATATACATCATTTGCTTTTGCTGTAATTTTCAGAAATGGATGGAATTGGGGGGTTGGAAATATATAGAAAATATAGTTACACTGAATTTTTTGAGGTTTTTGGGTTCGAAAATGCTATAAAAACAGAGAAAAACAATAATTTTCCTGTAGTCTGGTTCCCTGACTCCATATGAGAAGAAACAGAGCAGTTTACATACATTGGGGAATTGTAAGGTCAGGGAACCAGTCTAGCTGGCTTGTACCCTTTCATAGGTGTGTAATCGATTGCAAACAAGTGCGATGGTCAATTGGGGTCAGTATTTGAAAAAAGCCAGTTTTTTTCCAAGACCAGCGTTGGAAATTGATGCAAAAATACCACTTTTCTTGAAAATGACAGTATACCAGGTGCCATGATTTTACAGGATGCTTTACACTGTCATTCACTAACAGTCCAGCAAGGTTTTTCAAAATGATTTGGTAGTTTTATTTTTTGATGTTTGCAAATGTTGTATTTTCCCTTTGAGAACATTCTGTGAGCAGGGCACAGAGCTTTTAAGAGCTCAGTGAATAAACCTGACAACATCTTTTTTAAATCTTATACATCCATCATCTAGTAATGGTCAAGGAGATTACAGACCAGGAGTTTTGGATTATTTCTCTGAATCATTCATTAGATATCATGGTAAATTGGCTCTGTCACGGACATTATACATTTAACAGTACTTGCTTTCATAAATGAAACTATCAGCAAAATATAAGAAGCAAATGCCAGAGAATCCATCTGTTATCTTGGAAAATCCGCTGTCTTGGGCGGAAAAAAAAGAAACGCCTCCTTCCTTTTAAAAAAAACGCCCTGACGAAAACGTTTTTTTAAGTATTTGTTTTTACTTGAATTAATTTTTTTGATGCAGGAACATCCGTTCAGTCATTTTGATGTGGTTGGACGAGAATTTGGATGACTTTCGGGAGCCTCCCAACTACCCCTGCCTCAGCCTGCTGCAAGACTTTGCCAGGGAGGTCTTCGATCTGGAGCTGGGGGAACGAGCGAGAAGGAGGATGGATTTCTTCAAGGAGGAAGCTAAGGAAAATGGTAAGCATTTCAACCTTGTCCTCGTGGCGTTGAGCAGTATGCTCCCACTAGCTGCTCTTTCACCCTGGTGCATTTGTGGTGTGTTAAAAAATCTTCCACATTTTAATTAGGTACGGGATAGTCTGGTGCCTGGCCGTGCTTAAAATCAGTGCTTGTTTTTGTATGCATAGTCCAGGGCCAGACGAATCAATCCATAGTGGCATGAAAAAGGAAAACCATAACTTTTTCAAAGTTGCAGTGTTACAAAAAAAATGTAATCTTAACTATCCAGTATGCAGAATCACATGATTACTTGACTGATCGTTGGAAATAAAGAGAACTAATGAAATCGAGTGTCGTGATCAAAAGGCTTTTCCCTGGTTCGTTTTCACTATTTTCTCGAAAAAGAGTAATATCCACCGAGCTGAAACTTCAACAGGTTAGGTTTTGACCATTCTTCTTTGGATTTTGAGTGGTGTTATTATTGCAAATAAACAAAACGCATTAAAAGGAAATATCCTATAATATGCCTTTAACGCAGGCCCTTGTACCAATAAACTGCTAACCTTGGCTTTCAAAAACCAGACTTCCTGGTGTAAATGAAGGAAGTGCCCTGGTCCTTTATGGGGAGTGCAGGGGTTTGGGCAAAACTCCAAAAACTGAAGTGTTAATCACGCCAAGGAAGAGACAGTTTTGCCTACCCTGGGTGTGTGACCTTGACGAACCTGGCGACAGGATGTCAATAAAGATGAGACCGAGATTGGCTAACTAGAAGTGAAAGTTTTCAAAACTGTTTTGAGATATAAAATCTGGGCTTGTTTCATGGAGGTGGTATCCACAGGAACTTGCTATGTGCACAGAAGATATTTATAAACAAATGTAAAGATCTTGGAGTAAAATATGACCACTATTAGCCGGTCACACTGTTACAGTTAAGTTACTTGTCACGGCAGGATCACAAGTCTGTCACAAGTCAGTTTACAAGTCAAACCACAAGCAACAGAGGATGAATCGATTACAAAGGAATGCCTTTGTCACAGTTCCATTGAACAGTTTGTGACTTGACTTGAGACCGGACTTGTCAAAACCTTTATGATGGACTTTTTGTGATGACTTATCATGGGTTTGTGAGGACTTGTGAGGACTTGTGATGGAATTGTGAGGACTTGTGATGGACTTGTGAGGACTTGTGATGGGCTTGTGAGGACTTGTGAGGGACTTGGAAGGCCTTATGAAGACTTGTAATGGACTTGTGAGGACCTGTGATGGACTTCTGATGGACTTGTGAGGACATGTTAGGACTTTGTGAAGGCTTGTAAGAACTTGTGAGGATTCCTGAAGGCTTTTCAGGATGTGTGAGGACCTCTGATGGACTGTGAGGACTTTTGAGGTCTTTTGAGGACATGTGAAGACCTGTAAAAACTTGTGAGGACTGGAATGCCTTTGTCACAGTTCCATTGAACAGTTTGTGACTTGACTTGAGACCGGACTTGTGAACAACTTTTATGATGGACTTTTTGTGATGACTTATGGGTTTGTGAGGACTTGTTTGGACTTGTGATGGAATTATGAGGACTTGTGATGGGCTTGTGAGGACCTGTGATGGACTTGTGATGGACTTGTGAGGACATGTGAGGACTTGTGATGGACTTGTGAGGACTTGTGAGGACTTGTGATGCCTTTGTCACAGTTCCATTGAACAGTTTGTGACTTGACTTGAGACCGGACTTGTGAACAACTTTTATGATGGACTTTTTGTGATGACTTATGGGTTTGTGAGGACTTGTTTGGACTTGTGATGGAATTATGAGGACTTGTGATGGGCTTGTGAGGACCTGTGATGGACTTGTGATGGACTTGTGAGGACATGTGAGGACTTGTGATGGACTTGTGAGGACTTGTGAGGACTTGTGATGGACTTGTGAGGACTTGTGAAGACTTGTGAGGACTTGTTAGGGACTTGTGAGGACTTGTGAGGTACATGAAGGACTTGGGAGGTCTTATGAGACTTGTAATGGACTTGTGAGGACCTGTGATGGACTTCTGATTGACTTGTGTGGACATGTGAGGACATGTGAGGACTTGTGAGGTCTTTTGAGGACATGTGAAGAACTGTAAAAACTCGTGAGGACTTGTGAGCTCTTACATATTGGCACTTATGGTGTACCAGGAACAAAGGGCAACAATAGGGACAATGGTGCCCCGCAAGTCTGTCTTTAGAATTTGAAGTACCCCATAGCCGTAACGCCACGCGAGATTTCTAAGGGGACAAAGGACAACAAAAGAAGGGGATTAGGGTCAAACAACAGTGGTTCCCCATACATGTAAACCCCAAATGCTAAGTGTGTATGGACTCGTGAAGGCTTGTCGGAACTTGTGACGGACTCTTGATAGAGTTGAGCTGGTTTTGTTTTTGAAATGGCACTCTGCACCCCATTTTAAAATTTCAAAAATAAAAGTAGCCTGGCACTTCCCTGATAGTGTGCTTTTATCCATTGTTTCATTCGCAGAGATGAGCAATCAGTTGGCATTCCAGGCTAGCATGTGCGACGAAGTGGACGGCGTTATGATGGACAACATGTTCATGGACATCAAAAACGTCAAGAGCGGGCTTCTGGCGCAACAACTCACCTATATGGACGCAGTAAGTAAAATCAAATTTTTGTCTTTTAGACGATTGCTTGGTGTCAGACAAAGTTGTAGGGCTATCGTCGTAGAACTCCAGTATGAGTTTTTAAGGAGTTGCAGGTTCGAATCCAGCTGGAGATAAACTTGTAGGGATACAGTTGGTGAAACTCTGGAACAGTTTTTCAAAGGTTGCAGGTTCGAATACTGCTTCATACAGAATTGTAGGGATACAGCTGGTAGAACTCTGTTACAGTTTTTAAAGGGAATGTACATCAATGGCTTTTGCTGTAATTTTCAGAAATGAAGTATTTGAGGGGTTAGTATAATAGATCAAATATTGTTACACTGACATGTTTGAAGTTTTGTGTTCGAAAATGCTGGAAAACCAAGAAAAACAAAAATGTTCAAGTAGTCTGGTTCCCTGACTCCACTAAAGTTAAAATGGATCAATTTATAGATGCCGGAAAATTGTAAGGTAAGGGAACCAGTCTAGCTGGCCTGCACCCGTTCATGAACATGTTACCAATAGCAAACAAAATTTGGACCGAAAAAAGTGTAAAGTTGGAGCAGTAGTTGAAAAATAGTTAGGTTTTTCCAACGGTGGTCGGCCGACCACCGTTGGAAATGAAAACAAAAATACCATTCAAAAAAACGACTTCACACCAGGTGCCATTATTTTACAGGATGCTTTAGACTGTCATTTACCAACATCCTAGTAAGGTATTTCGTAAAAACTTGGTAGTTTTATTTTTTGATGTCTGCAAATATTGTATATTCCCTTTAAAAGGTTGAATACTGCTTCAGTTATATTTCTTTCTTTGACCTTAAATTGGTCCGCTGAAATACAAATGCCTGGCCAGGTAGCTGGAACAAATTGTTTTGTAGTAGTTAAAAACAATAATGACGAAATCCCGCATGCATGTACTGGTTGGTGTATAGCGCGAAGTACACGCGACTAAGCCATAGCGTCTTTGCTTGAGCAGCAGGCGTTGTTGGCAATGCGTTCTTCGTCTCCCGATGGCCCCCCCCCCCCCAACTCTCTCTTTCGTACATTTAAGGGGTTACATGTACTTCTGCACGAAGTCCTCAGTCCACCTTTGGTACAATATTTTTGAGGTTGTAGGTTCGAATTCCACTTCTGTCAAAAGTGAAGTGCCATTTTTTTATCATAAACTTTTGTCCCTCCAGGACCTGTTTAGGAAAGTCAATCTACAGCACTGCCTGGGCGGCATGTGGTCGCGGCGCAGCAAGAAAATAGACAGCTATCACGACGTCGCCTCGGTTAAAGCGACGGTGACGCAGTTCAACGACGTCTCGAACCGCGTGATGACGACCGTCATCGAGGACAAGACGATGAAACCGCACGACCGGGCGGCCATAATCAAGAAGTGGATCGAAGTGGCGCAGGTTGGCTCAAAGTTTTTAAATCATTTTAATTTACCGATTTAGAGCCATTTACATGTGCCTCTCGTCATGCCATTTTACTCTTTCAGTGCCCGTGAAATTTGAAAAGTTTAACCCTAAAGCGCCCAACTTCGAGCATTTTTGTTAATTGTTCAAAATTCTGTAAAAAAAAAAGTGAATAAGTTTTACTCACTAAAGTTGTTGTTGTTACTCTCTGGTATATCCTTGATATATTGGAAAGTCAAAAGTAGTCACAAACATAGTGATACACCCTGAAACACTGGCCTGAACACAGGGAGATTCCGCACTTTTTGCAGAAAATACGAGATTTAGTGCTGCGCCCTTTCGCAAGAACTCGAATGAAAAAATAGATACATGTCGTACATGCATGAAAATGGTACCATTAGAAAGAGCAAGAGCGCCCCCTTTTGATAACATATTTACCTCGTACATGTACGAGGTTTGGCAATTTTAAGTACGAACATTTACGAACATTACCTAATACATGTACAAGGTTGGCGCTATTGGACTAACAAATATACCTCGTACATGTACGAGTTTGGCACTGAAAGAGTTAAAATTTCACCCGAAAAAATAGATTTTTTTTAGAAAAAAATTGCTGTTTTTCTAGTAACACTAAACTGTAGCATACCCAAGAAGAGCAAATGTTTAACATGATCCCTTAGTGCAAATTGCATAAGCTGCGCTTCTGTTTGTTGGCAGGTTTTTGGACCCATGACTCACAGACCAGAAACCTCAAAATAGACCAACCACAGATGTTGCAAGCTGGCGGTAGTTTGTTGAAACATGTTGCCTGGAACAATGAATCGATGACTCAGATCGAGATCGGGAAATCTACAGTTAATAAGAAATGCAGAAGATATTGGGATTTTTTTGTGGTTGCTCAACACCGTTTTGGGTCGCACAGATCATGTGAGTCCACTTTTTCATGGGGTGGTTTTCATTTTTCCGGGTTCTGAAAATCTGCTGTCAGGATGCAAAGGATTATGAGGTGTTTTTTGTGGTTACACGACACTATTTTTAGTCAAACATCATGCGAGCTCGATTTTTGACGGCCTGCTTAACAGGAAATATTGCTAGGCAAAATCATGAGCTATTTCCAGTTTAGCCGAGAACCAGCTATCATTCAGTGACATCACATGACATTTGGCTGGTTACCCTATTTCTGCTTAGCTTAAATTGTCTGTGCTTAGCAGATTTTTGGGCTCGTCAGCTCCAAGAAATCAAATTACTATTTGATTTGTGCATGGGATTAGAGGGCGCTATTCAGCTTTTGCTAGGAGATCACTGGTGCATGTATCTGAAAGAATATATGCAAAACATGACATTTACAGAGCTGTTATGTAGTCAGTGACAAGTACCGGTACCAGTTGATCACAAGTCAGTCACAAGGGAATCATAAGTTGATCACTGGTCAGTCACTAGACAATCACAAGTCGATCACAAGACAATCGGAAGACAATCACAAGTCAATCACAAGACAATCACAAGGCGATCACAAGTCGATCATAAGTCGATCACAAGACAATCACAAGTCAGTTACAAGAAACTCATCAGTTGATCACAAGTCAGTCACAAGACAATTACAAGTCAGTCACAAGACAATCACATGTCGATCACAAGTCGATCACAAGTCGATCACAAGTTGATCACAAGTCGATCACAAGACAATCACAAGTCAGTCACAAGGAACTCACCAGTTCATCACGATTCAGTCACAAGACAATTACAAGTCAGTCATAAGAAACTCAAAAGTTGATCACAAGTCAGTCACAAGACAATTACAAGTCAGTCACAAGACAATCACAAGTAGATCACTAGTCGATCACAAGATAGTGACAATGCACATGTCACAAGTCAGTTGGTAAGGTTTCAATAAGTTGTTAACTTTTCTTCCCCAGGTGTGTCGAGAGATGAAGAACTTTTCCTCGGCCAAAGCGATCATCTCTGGACTGCAGACCCACCCTGTTTACCGGCTCAAGAAAGTCTGGAACGCAGTACCAAGGTAACAGGAAAAATGATAAAACTGACAAACAGAGCCTTGTCATTTGATTGGTGGAACTCACAAAATGTGACCTTCGTATTGCTCCCATTCAAGCCGGGACTCAAAAAGTCCCATTCACCCATGGGGAATGGGATGTACTTTTCAATAGTTAAGCCCAAGTCACACATTCACGGTTTGGAGCCACGGATCTCCACGGTTTGAAATTTGTGATAAACCGTGGGAGTACCGTATTCATCCTTAGTACCTCCGTGGTTATCTGTCATCTTCCTTGGCATTCGTGGAAGGGCTACGGAAGTTTTAAACTGCTCATATCTTCCGTGGTGAACTGTCATGAAAATTAATCCGTAGTGCAACCGTGGGACATCCGTAGGACAACCGTATTTATTTGTAGTGTTATTCGTGGCTATTTGTGCATATTCTTTGGGATTCATAGCTAATTTGTGGCAGAAATATCTACGAATTCGCTACGAATGTCCTACGGATATGCCCTGATGTGCTAGGATTCTGCTAAGGTTGTACTACAAATATCCACGCTTTATTCGTAGGAGAACCTTGGTCATCCGTGACCCAGGATAGGGCTTATTGTCCAGTAAAAATAACTGCACACTCTTCATCAAATGGCATAATGGTCACTACAAATAAATTGAACAAGAGATTTGTCTTAGTGGATAAGTTGCCTTTTTTAATACGCAGACATTTGCGTTGCTAGAAATGAGAATAATTCTGTCACCTTTGTTTTGTGTTTTTTTGGTCTTTTTCAGGGCACATGTTCTCCTCTTTGAAGATCTCGCCAGTATATTCATGGACGACAACAATTTTGAAATGAGTCGAGAACTTCTGATGAAGGTAGGCCACAATAAAACCAATAAATGGAAGAAATTGTAAAACAAAAGGAAAATTAGTACAAAATGGAAACAAATTCACTGTACGTGGATTTTCTTACCCCAATTTTCAAACTTCGTATTAAACCCCATTCATAAATACCTCAGACAGTTTAGCTATTCCTATTGGTCGAGAGCCCGTCACGTGGCCGGTCTTAAACGGATGATAAAGACATGGCTAGCTGGTCTTAAACACTTTTCCAGTGTCACAATAAAATGTGGACTCCTAAAAATCCAGTGCCTCTTACCGTTTCATTGGTTGAACGTTCACAATCCTCACGTAGGCATGCGCAACACTACAAGCAAGTCAGAATTTTATAGTTCTAAATTCAAAACGCAATGCCCCAGGTGCGTTCTGCGTGACATCGCGCAGAACGTGCCACGCGCGCGTCAATCTCCATAAAAGGGTTGTTTACATCTTAATCGCCAGCTGAACACTCCATTATTTAGCTAGAGGGATGTTTCAATAAGCATGAAGTAAACTTGCTGAACAAAATCGGGATTGTTTGACCGAAATATTATATTTTTTTGACTGAAAAGGTATTTATGAATGGGAATAAATATGTGCTCGGTCGGTATTAATCACTCTGTTTAAGACCGCTTAGAGTCTGGGTGCTGATAATTACCCGAGCCTCCGGCTCGGGTAATTATCAGCACCCAGACTCTAAGCTGTCTTAAACAGAGTGATTAAAACCTCTCGAGCACACATTTATTCCCTTATTAACATCACAGGCACCCACAGGCTGCTAACTTTGAGTAAGAGCTGAGAGTGAGACTCTGGCGATGGAGATTGATCAGAACTGATATGAGTGCGAAGCACGAAGCCCTAACGGCGTGGGGTTCGGGGCTGGCTGATGGCCCCGAAAATTTTTGGATTCTAGACGCTCTGTGGTGCTTTTTCTGACTAATTTAAGCAATTTTTGTAACAAAAGATCATCATTTAAACATCATTTTCGAGTTTGATTTATTTATTTTTTTAGCTTGGGAAATCCCGTGTGGGCGTGAGACCATGAGAATAACCCCGAAATGCGCGAGTCTCACACTTAATGCCGAAGGGTTGGCAGGCCGCAAATTTTGTTTTCCCAAACAACATCCCCATATGGGTGTACGCTATGGCGTTTTGGACTTTACTTCTCTAAAAATATGAGAAGAAAATATAAAATTATAAAAAAAAAAATGAATTCGAAGGTAATGAAATTTGGACTTTGTTTCCCTTTTTAAAAAAATCCTCCGAAGCCTCAGATTAGAAAATTTTGGGGAAAAAACGGTGACTCGAACCCACAAGCTCGCAGTGGAAAATCACATCCCCTATCGACTGAGCTATCGCACTTCACACCAAATCCTGGGGGAAAAGATAATATACCTGCGTACCTATCATAAAAGTATCGTAGAGGGCGCTAAACAACCATGTATATGGATGTAGTGTGGGAAAAGAAAATTCGCTGGCAGGCCTGCATCCATTATGCTTAGCATAGACCAATCCATTCTATTACGAAGCCCCCCTTTCAATGGCGAAAGCGTTGTGCTAGCTATTGTTCAGATAATCTGTCATGGGGCAGTTGCTTTGTACAATAGCGTGCACAGTTATTCCTCCATTGAAGGGGCTTGTGGGTGAACAGTGATCACATGTGCGGATTCGTGTATATAAAAACAGTGATTTCTGGCAACGTTTACATTTTCAGTAACCATGTTAATCTGAATCAAAATTTACATCAGATTCAAACCAGCTCAAATCGAACTTTCACTCGGGAGGCAACACACTGAGTATACAGTGTTTAAACGTCGGTGAAGGGCAAAAACCTAATTTGATTTATATCATCCTGACGCAAAAAAAACCCAACAAATTCCTTCTTATAATCGTGTTAATTTGTTTGCAAAAATGAGCGAACCGTTCTTTAGTTGTAGCGAGTAGTTTGCAGGAATGAATTCCCTCGTCCCCCGTCCCCCCTCCCCCTCTCAAAAAAAGAAGAAGAAATTGCCATTTTTTGGAAAAACGAATGAACAATGACCAAGCAATATTTAGAACTGGGTAGCTGATGGTACAGAAAATCCCCACGCTTTCAAGATAATATCTAGAGGTTTTAAATCGCTCCTAGCCCTACGCCGGAAATTGGGATTATCGTGTACAGGAAGTGGGGAAACTCCGACCACCAAATTATTTTTAGACAAAAATGGTAAAGCATGGAAAATCGTTGCTTAGTACAAAACGGTTACCGGCCAACATGTCATATGCTGCATATTGCCAGTGACTGGTTCTCCGCTGACTTCGCTAACCACATAAATTTTCTAAGCATTTTTTTTTTGCTGTACAATATTTTTCTGCTTAAAAAGCTCTCTGTGAAAAAATATCATCTGAAGTCAAAAGTCAGACGCTTCTACATGTATAGGCGATCCCAGTGTTGTGTAATGTCCGTGACAAATGTATTTTTCCAAACCTTGTACATCCATCATCAAGTAATGGTCAAGAAAATTACAGACTATGAGTTTTTGTATCATTTCTCTGAAGCATTAATCAGATATGGTTAATTGGTGCTGTCATGGACATTACACTTCCGTTCATAAGCTTACGATCACCGTTCCGTGCTAACAACGATAGCAGATAAAAATTATGCACTAAAAACCCAGTAAGCACAGAGTTCTTAGTTGCGGGATGTACACATGCGCATAAGCCAAAAATTCCTCACTATTACCCGTGAAATCCTTTATCGTAAGCAGGGAATTTTCTGCTACAGTAAGCATATAACGGTAAGCAGAGCAATGACATTGGGCCCAGGACTTCAGCAGCAAATATCGCTTACCAGATTTACATGCTAAGTGAAAATCTGTCGGGAACCAGCCACCAGCAACACATACAGTGCACAATTTTAGCTGGTAATCTTAATCTGCTAAGCAGACATTTTCCGCGCTTAGCAGATTTCTGTGCTTAACACTTCAATGAAATTTGGGCCTAGTCTGAATTACCTCGTTGGCTACGGCGAAAAAATTACACACATGGGTCTATGTGAAGTGGTTGTAGCGGCTTCCATAGGCTCGTGTGCAATTTTCTAGCCGTAGCCATAAAACACGTAATTTGGACACCGCCTCGATTATCCGCTATTGAGCACGGAAAGCATTTTGCTAAGCGCAAACAGGTCACCGGTCAAAAGGTCATGCAGTGTCTACCTATGACTGGTACTCGGCTTTTTCTTGCTTAGCTCGAAAATTTGGTAGGCGATGTTGTCTGTTTCATAAAATTGGGACCAGCTGGGCTCTTGATTTGACATTTCCTGTCGGTCGTGTATTTCTAGGAGGGAACGGCCAAATTTGCCTGCGTAGACTCCCCCCGGATTTCCCGGAAGCCGATCCTAAATCTGGTGCGCAGACTGAGCCACGAGAAAGCCACAGGCCACAGACGAGAACAGGTGAGTTTATACAACTAGTTTCTTTTTAAAGGCATATAGGATCATTTGCATTTATCCCAAAAGTAGAAAATTATTATCAAAAAGCTTATTTGGATTAATGATCGTACTGGTATTAAACATCCTGTGAAATTATTCCATCTGGCTTGCTTGTCATTTAGAAGAAAACAAGAAATGTATGTATGTAGGTGATTTCCAACGATCAGTCAATCGACTGATTCTTGGAAACATAGAGTTCTTTTGACGAAATCCTGTTTCATGATAAAATGTTCGATGGTTTTTCACTGTTTCCTCCAAAAGTGTCATTTCCACTGAGCTGAAACTTCAACAGGTTAGGTTTTGAACATTCTTTTTTTTTGGATTTTGAATGGTGTTGTTATAGGAAACGAACAAAACGCATAAAGTGCAAACATGGCAAATGATCCTATATGTCTTTATGAGTACGTAGAACTAAAATTGTGAATTTGTTTTTGTTGAAGTTTGAAGTAACGAACTTCCTCCAAATCTATATTAGGTTTTGCCCTTCACTGACGTCTATTTACTCAGTGTGTTATACGTCGGTGAAGGGCAAAACCTAAATATTGATTTATATCACCCGAGGCAAATTCCTTTTTATGAATACCGGTAGTTTATTTTAATTTACATAACAACAACCTGTTGAAGTTTCAGGTCAGTGGATGCTATATATTTGAAAATATCTGAAAATCAGGGAAAACCTTAAAAATGAGTTTCCATTTTTCCAGTCAGGGAAAACTCTGGGAAGTTTGTCGTGTGTGTATCCTGTGCCATGTGTCCTCGTTAAAAGTTAAAATATTCTCATGGAATTTTGGAAATTTCCCAAAGAAATGCCTGGGAAAACTCCGGGAATTTTGTTTTCCTAAAGTGCTAGGAACCCTTCTTTCATGTCTTTGAGAAAATGTATGCACAATTTTGTTGGTCTCTGACTAGTGCATATCTGAATACTATCGGGTTTGGACACGTCCCACTCTATAGAAACACCAAGTTTCAATCCAATCGGACTTGTCCTTTTAATAGGAAACATAGGGCTTATTTGAGAAAATGTATGCACGATTTTCCGGGTCTCTGACTAATAAGTGCACGTCTGAATACTATTTGGTTTGGACACGTCCCGCTCTATGTAAACACCAAGTTTCAATCCAATCGGACTTGTACTTTCAATAGGAGATATACAGCTTCAAAAATACACCTTTAACGACTGGGGAACACCAGAGCCCCTTAGCATTAACCTTTTGGCCCATTTTTGTCTCCAGGCTCGTATGCACGGCACTGTGCCCTATCTAGGCACGTTTCTGACGGACCTCATCAAGATCGACGTGGCCAACCCAGACACGATCGGGGACGGCCTCATCAACTTCGAAAAGAAGCGGAAGGTGAGGGGACAATCTTAAACAGACATCTGAAACACTGAGTCAAAATGTCAAACCCAAGCTTTTTGGTCTCTTTCTTGCTAGGTCGAGACGTCAGGCCTGCCTGTCTTTTTTACACTTACAGAATTTTGGAATTATATTTAACCACAAAGGCAAATTAAATAGATTCAATTCAAAATGGTTCCCCAACGATGTTTAAGATTGATAAAAATGGGGGGGGGGGATGCCCTTTTGCTTACAACCAATTTTGAAGTTGAGGTATTTGTGATGATCACAGTGCATCACAAGTGCATCACAAGTCAGCACAAGTCCATCACAACTCCATCACAAGTCATTACAAGGTCCATCACAAGTCAATCACAAGCCCATCACAAGTCACTCACAAGCCCATCACAAACCAATCACAAGTCAGCACAAGCCCATCACAAGCCCATCACAAACCCATCACAAGTCCATCACAAGTCCTCAGAAGTCCATCACAAGTCCATCACAAGTCCATCACAAGCCCATCACAAGCCCATCACAAGTCCATCACAACTCCATCACAAGTCCATCACAAGTCCGTCACAAGCCCATCACAAGCCCATCACAAGCCCATCCAAAGTCCATCACAAGCCCATCACAAGCCCATCACAAGTCCATCACAAGTCCATCACAAGTCAATCTCAAGTCCATCACAAGTCAATCACAAGTCATCAATGTCATCACAAGTCATCCAGTCCCAAGTCTTGTGACTTGTGCTTAACTTGTGACCAGACTTGTGATGTGTCTGTGATCCATCACAAACAGTCTGACTACAACTCCGCCTCCAACATAGAAAGGTTTGTAACAACTTTGTGGGTTTTTTGTTTGTTTTTTTCTCTGCAGGAATTTGAGGTGATAGCCCAGATCAAACTCCTTCAGAACGCGGCCAAAAATTACTGCATCAATCAGTTGTCGGAATTTGTGGACTGGTTTACAAATATGAACGTCATGACATACGCAGAGTGGTAAGTATTGTGAGTTTCTAGACCCAACACTGGTGGACAGTCTCAGATATAGAACCAGAGCAGTGCTATTGTATAGGATAACCCCTTGACAACAATGCAATTGGCTTAAAACAGGCCCATTGTCAATGTGAATAGTCATTTTGAATCAATGTGTGCTCTGACTTAGACCGGTCTGGAACCAGTCTGGAATGACTCGCTGACTTACTCACTTACTGCCTGACTGTTACTTGTGAGCCGGGCAGTGCTATTGTATAGGATTACCCTGTGATGCGAATGAATGGGGTAAATCCGATCCTTTGTGTAAACCAAAGATAAACCAAGAGTAAAAATAGCGAATATGAATCAACTGAATAGAATTTTCTGTGATCCGAGACCAGTTTGTTTGTTGTTTCGTTTTCTTGCAGTTGTGATGTTTCTGACGAGATCGCAGGATCAACGCCATCATCATCCCCTATGTTCAGCACGCCCGACAGAAAAGGCAGTGCTTTCAGGTCGGTTTTAGGTCTCTAAAACACAATTTAAACCCCCCTCCCCGCTAAAAAAAAAATTCTGGCTCTTAACCTAAATAAGCTTTCTACAGCATGAGGTATAATGTGATGCTATCCTTAGCATTAAGTTAAGGGTTTGAAATTATGTTGTATGAATACATTATGTATGTAACAAACCAACATTTAAAGGAAAGAATTGCTTATAGGGCTTTCTCATGACCTGGGCCCAATTTCACGGCGCTGCTAAGCACAAAAATTTGCTTAGCACAAAAAAAGTCTGGCTTATAAAAGCAGGTTACCAGCCAAATGTCCATGTGATGTATATTGCTTGTGATTGGTATTCAACTGTTGTTTGCTTAGCATGAAAATCACATGGAGTTTTGGCTGGTAACCTGCTTTAATAAGACTTTTTGTGCTAAGCAAATTTTTGTGCTTAGCAGGGCCGTGAAATTGGCCGCTGGCCTACATCTGGGTACCGGAAAGTCAGTGTCGCCATTGTAGTAGGCAAAGGTCGTACAGCGCTGCGCAGAGTAGGTAGTAGGCAAGCCTTCAAAGCTGTGATGGATGGCAAAAACTGTGAGAAAAATGTGGAGCCAACACCCAGTGCTGGGTCGGCGTGATTATGACAACCGTACACAGAACAGGCAGTGACCATTATGCCATTTGATAAAGAGTTCATGGTTATTTAAAATGAAAGTACGTTTACAACGAATGAAGTGGGCATGCTAACCAAACGCTTGCCTACTGCAATGGTGACTTTTTTCCTGCAGCAGCTCGAGATCAGCGCAGTCTGGTCTCTACCCTCACAGGTACCCATTTATACTCCTGGGTGGAGAGAGGCAATTGTGGTAACGTGAGTCAGAGAGTGGCATTTATGGATAGAGGTGATTGTAATAAAGTGTCTTGCTTAAGAACACAAGCACCGTGTTTCCCATCAGGGTTCGATTCTGCGTACCATTGCACATGAGTCAGACAGTGGCATTTATGGATGGAGGTAATAAAGTGTCTTGCCCAAGAACACAAGCACCATGTTTTCCGTCAACATTTGAACCCACATACCGCAGCACGAGTCGAACCCCATGACCATTGGACCACCGCGCACTTTATAAATATGGGCTATTATTTTGTTCAGGCGGTTTTTCAGCTACACAGCCGAAGACACGACCAAGAGCCACCGCAGCAGCAGCAGCTTGAGCAGCACCAGCTCCACAGGTTCAGCCGGCTCAGCGGACACCCCCCTACTAGAAGATGGTATGAGCTTCTCCAGCGAGAACTCCCCAGCCACGTCAATGAACGGCGGGGAGAATCCACGTCTGCGGAGGGTGGAGATGAGGAAAACCACCTCGGGGGTGAAGGAAAAGGAGAAGCTTGTCCGCAAGGTGAAGATCAAATTCTGTCTTGTTTTGCACTGATGAAAAATCTGGGTTGCCCATTTGCCTTTGCGCCCTGCACACATTTGAAGCTATAAAAGCGTTGGTTCCTAATCTCTGAATTGGAATATGGTATAGGAACCAGTATAACCACTCTCATCGTACATTTATAAACAAATAATTAAAGTATATTCGGCACAAAAAAAAATCGTCGGTCTCTGGTCAGACCGAAGTTCCGGAATTAATGCGGCGACGCAGTTTTTTTGGGGGGGGGGTGGCTTTTTTTTTTTCAAGCTTGTATTGTACAGACAAGGTATTTTGCTTTTTTGTGTCCTCATTACACATTGGTGTCCTGCATAATTTGCCTTGGTGCCCTTTATCATTTGCCTTGATGCAATTTCCCCATTCCTTGGTGCTCCTTGGTACAAAAATTTGAGGAGGTGCGGCAATAGAGGGCGCTGTTGTAGCTTCCGTGTTAATTTGAAGGAAAAAAAAAGGTTGACGCGCATGATTTAAAAACGCGCGCGCTGACCAGAGACCGAGTTTTTTTTTTTTTTTGGCCTTGACCCTCCTGCTATTTAAACAGTTGCACACAGTCAACATTTGCATCCACTTCCCCAGCTATACTTTAAACACTGCATTTTTCAAAGTCAAAGAGTGGATTATCCCTATGTTCTATTCAAACAGATATAGACATCTAGTTTTCTTTATATTTCCCCCCCCCCCCCCCAGATTTCAGCATCTTATTCCATGACGGACCTGACACAACTCATCGTCCCCGAAAAGCACAAGACCCCCGAACCCTTCCCCTCCTCGTCCTGTCGCATCATCAGAGTCTCGCTAGAAGGCAGCGAGGGTAACGTCTACAAGAGTATCGTGGTCAGTAGCAGTCAATTTTATCTCAAGCCAATGTTGACTCTTTGCATTGATTACAAGGGGAAAGTTTTGGGAGACCCTCCATGTATATTCCTTGGGTGAGACAAGCAGTTGAGGTAAAAAAGCTTGCCCATGGACACAACACATATGCAGCAGCTGGATTTGAACCCCTGACTCTCTGATCACAACCCTAAACCATTACATTTTTGGTTGGAGAGAAGCAATTAAGTGTCATGTTACTTGCCGAAGTACACAATATAAATAATACCGAAGACTATATAGTGCACGTATCTACCTACAATTAGGTACTCAAGGCGTTGGAAATTATGTCTATTATTAGAGACAGGTAAATGAAGTACATGAGAAATATGAGAACCATTATGTAGCACCTTTATAATGGTTCACAAGGTGCTGCGGCGCATTAAGCAGCCACTGCCAGAAACACCGGGGCAAACCCCTTCTCTTAATGGGTTCTTAATGTGCATTACACAACACACGGGACCTACGGCTTTACGTCCTATCCGAAGGAAGAAGCAATAATGGCAAAGTGCCTTGCTCAAGAGCACAAGCACCATGTTCCCACAGTCAGGATCAAAACCCATGTACTACGGTACACGAGTCAAACACCGTAACCATTGGACCACAGCACCCCACAAAATCAAGCTAATTGATTCCAACTCCCAGCCCCCGATCAAAAAAGAAGTAAATATTCAAAATATATTTATGGGGCTCTGAGACAACAAGCAACTCATTGAAAAGAACCGTGCAAGATCTTCCATATTGAAATCAATAGATATTGATGGATTTTGTTGATATTAATTGATATTTACATTCAGATCACGCAGCAGGAGCACACGCCCTCGGTTATCCGAACTGCAGCTGATAAACACAATTTGCCTCCTGAAGAGAACCTGTCCGAGTTCATGCTGGTGCAGAATCTGCCCATGGGAGGTGAGTAATGAGTGATGAGTAACGAGTGATGAGTAACAATGAGTAACGATGAGTAACAAGTAAAACTAGAATAAAGATTGGTAGACTGGTGAGCTGATTTCATTAAATGAGGACAGGCAATTGGGAGATGAGTAAACGGGTGAATGAGTAATGAGTGACGAGTAACGAGTAATGATTGACAAGTAAGGAAGAACAGATAAATGAGTGATGAGTAACAAGTAAAGTTGAATAGGTAGACCAATGAGCTGATTTTGTTAAATAGGTACAAGTGAAAGGTATGGAACCCGGTCATGGGAGGCGAGTAATGAGTGATGGAATAACAAGTAACGAGTAATGAGGATTATGAGTAAAAGAGAATATTGATGGTTGACTGGTGACTTGAGTAAGAACAGGTGAGTGTCAGGTTGCTACAAAATCTGCTCCTGAAGGTGAGTCATTGAGTAATGAGCAACGAGTTCTGACTATCGAGTAATGAGTTATGTCTAATGAGTAAATGAGAATCAAGACAGTAGACTTGGATTTGAATAAGGACAGGTGAGTTCATGGTTGAACAAAACTTGCCCGTGGCATGTGGGTAAATGAGTGACGAGTAATGAGTACTTACTGAGTAACAAGCAGTGAGTAATGAGTACTTACTAATAAGTAACTAGTAGTGAGTAATGAGTATTAAGGATAAATGAGAAAAAAGATGGTAGGCTGGTGACTTGAATTAGGACAATCCGAGTTCATGTTGGCACAGAATCTGGGAGGTGAGTAAATGAGTAACCAGTAATGAGCATTGAGTGCTGAGTAAATGAGTACTGACTAAATGAGAATAAAGATAGTATAGACTGATAACTTGAATAAGGAATGGTAACTTCACTTTGATATTCGGAGGAGAGCAAATGTCCAATAAAAGACTGACTAATGAGAATTGAGTAATGAGAAGTGAGTAACGAGTAACATTTGTCAACAAAATTCTGACTTTTTTTCTTCAGAACTTCATATACCTGACAATGCCAATGTCTACTATGCAATGAACACCAACGCCGAGCCGGACTTTATGCTGAAGAGAAAGCCGCCGCCGGGCGCCGTCATCAAACGAAACATCACCAAGTCCCGACGGACGAGAAAGTCGTGGATACGCGACAGCCACGATTCGTGACAAGACAATTTGTAAGAAGTAAAAAACAAACAGCATCCAGTATTTAAATTCTGTGGAATAGAGAGAATGTATATAGAGAATGTGTATGTTTGTACTTACATGTACATGTACGGTATGCCACCTTGGTTAACCTATTATTCACGGTACCGCCCAAAACCGCCTGTTACTCCCTGTACTACCCCAAACCGCCCTGCCTGTTACTCCCTGTAATGCCAAAAACCACCCCGTCTGTTACTCCCTGTACCGCCCCAAACCACCCTGCCTGTTACTCCCTGTACCGCCCCAAACCACCCTGCCTGTTACTCCCTGTACCGCCCCAAACCACCCTGCCTGTTACTTCCTGTACCGCCCCAAACCACCCTGCCTGTTACTCCCTGTACCGCCCCAAACCACCCTGTCTGTTACTCCCTGTACCGCCCCAAACCACCCTGTCTGTTACTCCCTGTACCGCCCCAAACCACCCTGCCTGTTACTCCCTGTACCGCCCCAAACCGCCCTTCGTGTTTTTCCCTGTACCGCCCAAAGCCGCCGGAACATTCAATGGTTTGGGTGAATTTTTCAACAAATAAATACATTGTAATACAATGTAGTACAGGTGCCAGAATTCTGAGTAAAAGACCAAAGGAACAAGTTCGAAATGATCTCGGAACTGCAGCCCAACTGTAGACGTGCTGTAGCCTATAAGTCATGTACATGATGTAAAAGTCTGTTCTTATAATTCACAACTACTCACGTGGTCGTGACTGTCAATTGAAAAGTATTCCCATTTGTTGAACGTCAGTTGGTGCATGGAGCGTTTTATAGCATGTGGAACACCCAATTTGTGTGCGGTACGGTGCCAGCTCTGATGCGAAATTAGTGCCCTCTATAGTAGTGTGGTTTAGTACAAACATCTGCTTTTTGACTCTAGTGACCCAATTTTCCACGACTGCAATAAATTGGTAGCTGGTCAGTGGAGACCTCTGAACCTGTCGCAATTCAGGGCCGCGAACCTGAGGCACGTGTTGTTGTGAGGGCCTATGGGACAAGACGATTGATTGCCACAAAAGGCATGTGCTGACGTTTGTTACTAACCAACCAACCAAAGGAGAGACATGATTTCTTGAACTGCTATTCGCAGCTGAAAATACCCGTGACAAGTTTTTTTTAGGATTGTGGGCCATTTCACGTCAACTGGCAAGAACTCATTTGTTTAAAATTTGATTTTGCCCTTTTCAAGAATCTCAGCTCTGATCAGAACTTGTGGAAAACCTTATTTTTTTTGCCAAATCACATTCCAAATTGGAATTGGTTTGAAAAAAATCGTAGGATTTTGAATGGTTCTGAAGGATATTGGTGGAAGTGAATTCACAATTGTTCAGTTCATGGACGAGTAATTATTTTTAACGGCAAATGTACAAATATTTATTTGAGGAAGATACGAACTGCACATAAAATAGAAGCTTATTTTAATTCTCTTCCTAGTTAATACATGGCTAGGAATTTAACAGTTCATTTTCATATTTTTTACACCGATGCTTCTTGTCATATATTTCATAAAAAAAGTTCTTCTAATGATTTCTGAAAACGATTCCCAACAACTCTTTTCATGGAAAGTGTTTGAGCAGCTTATTAATTTTATAACAATTTTTTTAATCAGAAATGTATTTTCCGCCGTCTCGAATGAACAACTCTTGATACTTTTGTATTATAACTCAAAAGTCTGTATTCTATTGTATAAATCGTGTAATCTATTATATGTATGTATTATATATTTGTATGATATTCTCATAATATTCTTATATAGTATATTTTATTTGGATACAAAAAGATATGTGTTGAATGGATGAATTTATCATAACTTTGAATGTGTTCTAAACTATTTGTTGAAACCATTGGACATCAATATTTTTTCCTGAAGTTTTAATTGAGCAAAAATTGTTGATGTTAATTTTCTTATTAAGTTCGTACATGTATTTTTTATTGGTTATCTCATGAGCACGAGTGGAACACGGAATAATTAGTGCATATGTGTCCCATATACCACACAGACACACTACACCTACATGCTCCATGTTTAATGAGCGCAAGTGCTGGGATAACAAATTAATCTTCAAGCAAACTGGACGCACAGTTAAGATGAAATAAGCATGCTGGACACTAACTTTTCCACTGTTATTGTTTAACACGTGCGTGCAGCGGGAATAATGTGCACATCTTAGAATAGTGCGATACGCAGAGTGCGATACGGACCGCGGTACGTCGTATATCACACTGTTGTTGCCATGGATCAACCAATCATGATCGAGGATTCAAGTTTTTCTTGAAGCTAATAACCTATCAAGTGAAGTGGAAAACAAACAAAAACCAGTGGATTTTTTTTGTGATCTAGGAATTTCTGTTTTACTCTGTATTCTATGGTTTACCATTCTATAGTATTTCCAATTTTACAGCATTCCAATATGGCCCCCTAAAAAAACCCCAAAACACAGGGTTAAAATATTGGGTTTTTTTATGTGAACATGCAACTCATCTAAAAAAAGAAAAAGTGCCGAAAATGTTCTGAAAGAAAATTGCCTTACGAAAAATACTTGGAATAAGTTTGAGTTTGGCTAAAAATTTCATATGACCATTTCTGCCCATTTTCCAAATAAGCAAGAATGAAAATACATTTTTCTGCAAGGACGACTTTAGTTCAGAAATTACAAATGAAATACATCCAAGCACAAAAATGGTTATGTGAACAACTTTTTTATCAGTATTTTTTATTGTAATTATAGCTACTTAGTTGTACATATTTTCAAGAATTATGACGATTCTCACATTTTATGCTAGAATTTACAATTATTATATAAATTAATTTGCCCAATTTGTTTTTGTTATTTTTGGGATTATGTCGAGGAAAGGTTTCCTCAAAATTCAAGGAGGTTACGTTAATGACTTGTTTTTGGCCTTTTTTGGAAAAGGGTCTGCTTTTCTGCCATCAAAACAGTAAATTTTGGTGATTGTTAAAGTTGTAGATAAGTAAGTTTCTGCTTTCTGGAGACTCCAAACTTTCTTGGCAGTTTTGGAAACCTCGTTTTTACTCAATCCCATACATGCACGCATACATTCCAGAATTTCTGATTCGTAATTTCTTAGATTGCCATGTTGTCAATTCAGCTTTGCACATTGTGCACAACTGGCATGTAGCCAGTTTTTGGACTAGTAGATTTTCGTGACCTTCCATCACAAAATGAGCTTAAAGTTGGACATTTTCATTTTGTAGTACAGCGGGCAAGCCAAAATTTGAAGGGGTGGCCCTTTTTCCCATGTGAAACACGCCTTGGGCTTGAGCTGCTTATGTTTGTTGGTTGGTGGGTTGGTTGGTTGGATTTGATTGGTAAACACTTTACTCTCCCATATATTGTATTCATACAACTCAAGTATTACAGCTTTGCAAGTATTACAGCTTTGCATTCGAAGACCGGTGTCACGGTCTCGCTTCTCCGGCGTGCTAGCTTCTCCAAAAGGAAAATTTCGCTTCAACACGCATGCACAAAATTGCGCAGTAGTGTACATTTTCGTCACTGTATTAGTGTGCCGAGTTCCTCGGGGTTGTACTTGTGCACGTAAGATCTTATTTGTATGAATGGTTACAGGGTATCAGTCGAATCCAGAATTTTCGTGGCACGCACTATTAACTCCCAATAACAAAAAAAGACTTGAAATGCACATTTATTTTAAGCCATGGTTGCAATAATAAAGACAAAATGGACCACGAACGAGCAAGGAACACGGACCAAGGAGTTCGTTCTTAATTATTCCTCCATGAACACACACTCATGCATGACGCTGGGAACACCAATCAGAATGCTTGCAAGACCATGGAATGACTTGACCCACAGGAAGTGTTACATAACACATTCTTAGGTGTCCTTCACTGTGTTATTAATGGGCTTGGTAGACTTCAACAGCCCTAGGAAAAGTAAGCACAGTGGACACATGAGCATGAATCGTGCTCATGTAACGTGCACTATAACGTGCTCAATTATCCGCCGAATCCACCCGGAGAAGCTAGCACGCCGGAGAAGTGAGACCGTGACACCGGTTTTGCAAACACTGTTGCGCGTGCGTCTAATTTGCATACTTTTTGCATATTAGATCACGCCCCATTCATTTTCATGTTCTGTTCTCTCGAGGTACCGGTACGGCCCGTGTGCACGGACGGTGCCGTATAGCCGTCTTCGTACGTTACCCGGCCTCGCTGCTACCCGTCCGCCGTGGGTTGTACCACTTGGTACTTGTTTTGTTTTCAGGTGAACCTTGATCTGTAAGTCCTGTTCTACCTTTCTCCATTTATTTTTTGATCTGTCAAACGTCTATAAACCTATTTCATCCCGTCCATTATAAGTTGACTGTTCATTCACTGTCACACAACTGCAGGATTTTTAAATGCCATTTTCTCAAGAATCAATTTTGCAACTTTAACTAAGTTGTCGGTCTTTATTTCCGTTTCTGAACTCGGAAAGCTCTTGTTCTGCAAAATCCAGATATGTAAATATCTTAATTCTTAAAAAGTCCGACTTTAAGCTCCTTTTGTGATGACGGGTCACAAGTTTAGTCAAACAATCGAAGATTCCAATTATGTAAACTTCAGGACTTCCAGTTTATTTGGTAAAAGATGTATTTGTGTTCGTTTGTTCGCTTTATTTACTCGGCAAAGCAGCTTACTGGAGGACACAAATACCAACCTGCTAAGATAATGCTGCCGAATTTCTAGAGTAGACAATCATGTTTTTATTAAACATGTAAATGTACAGAGGTTGTTATGAACATATATTTATTGATATCTTATGTAATTATGCAAATTCTTTTATATACTTCCATAGTTATGGGTTTTAAACGGACAATTATTGAATGTATATTTAGTTAAAAAAAAAACAAATCTCAGAAATATCCATAATTTTGCCACGTAACAAACTTACATTAGTTTTCTTAGTATTAACCGAAAATTCAGATCGTCTTCAAATTTTTACCACTCTATATTTAGTACCTTTTATTTCACGCTACGCTTTTGCCAGAAATATTGGGCAAGTTGATTTTTCAGATAGCGGAAAATGTCATAAAATGGCTTTTGAACTCTGACATTATGGTCAAAAAGCACACTCTCCGGTCAGTGTCCCACGAACAACAAATTTGTTTAAGTGTTATTGACGAACAGAGTATACTGTTTGAAACGTCGAGACCCTATTCTCACCAACGGCTCTCTTCAGAGCCAATTACACTTCGTCATAGGAGAGGGCTTTTTCTGTGTGTGTTTGGAAAATGGCAGATGAACATGTTTCCCAAGTTGTAATTCATACAAAATTTAAAGGGAATGTACAACATTTGCTTTTATTTTCAGAAATGGATTTGGGGGGTTAGCATTTTATAGCAAATATTGTTACACTGACTTGTTTGAAGTTTTGTGCTCGTAGATGCTGGAAAAACCAAGAAAAATAATCAGGTTCCTGTAGTCTGGTTCCCTGACCCCACTTAAGATGAAACGGAGCAAGTATGAGGGAATTGTAAGGTCAGGGAACCAGTCTTGTACCTGTTCATTTAGTGTGTAATCGATTGCAAACAAAATGCGTACTAACTATGTGGTAAATTGGGAGCAGTATTTGAAAAAAGCCAGGTTTTTCCAGGAAATTGTACAGAAATACCCCTTTTCTTGAAAATGACAGCACACCAGGTGCCATGATTTTACAGGATGCTTTATCATGCAACAGTCCAGTGAGGTATTTCATAATAACTTGGTATTTTTGTTTTTTTGATGTTTGCAAATGTTGTATATTCCCTATGATACCAATCTCTGAAGATTTTCAATTTCAGTTCTGTACTCCTGCCTGGTTACCTTGGAAACAAAACAATTCAAAAAGTGACTCTAAACAAAAAGACTTGATATATCTCACAAAAAATTGAGACTTTATTTTGATCCAAAAACCTTGCCCGTTGAAGCAGGCATTCTGTCATTTTACAACTCAATTTTTGTTATAACAGTCAAGCCCAAATGTATTTAATACAAAGCTATACAAAACTCAAGCAGTATTTTATATTTACGTAAACGTCATCTAAAGACATGTAGAACATTGTTCCATTGTTTAATGAACTCAGTATTGGACTGAAAACAAAGCTGATGAATATGAGTAATTTTTTATATTTGATAACACGAATTATCCCTTGTAAAGTGGAATTGCTGAAATTTAATGAAATCCAAAGTGTGTTTTTTTTTCCAGCAAGACAAATATGTACATATTTGAACTATGGTACAAAAACTAAATTACAGAAAAATACAATAAAAAACATCATTTAAATTAAAGGATGTTTTAATGAACATGATCTAATTTCTAACTTTGTGTTTCTAAGTCAGTGCTTGCGCGTTTGTTTATGGTGTAAATCGAGGCCACACATGTGCAACATCAATGGACGACCTCGATTAGAAAACGTGAACAAAACCAATCAGAGATGTTGTGAAAAAGTTAGAGTACAAAGGAAAAGGGAAGAGGAACAAAAGAAAATCCTTGATTTACACCATAAACAAACGTCTTTGTGTGTGAGTGTGGTTTTTTTACCCGAAACAAAATATTTCTGGGAAAACCTTGAAAATAATATTGGTTTGTAATTGAGGGAAATAAATTTTGCTTGGGAGAGAAAAGTTGTTTTTGAATTCCATTATCAAATTGCCAGAAAGACAATAGTTTCAAACCCTGATTTAAAAAAACCCACAAATACAATAACATTACAACAAATTATCATCATGACGTTTTCAAGAAATGTTCGGCAAGCATTTTCAGTGCTTTTCCTCTGTGCGATATGCTGTTCTTTGTTGCCGACTCCATCTCTGCATAACTGGGCGAAAGAGAAAAAAAAAGAAAAAAAAGTAAGGGCCCGTTTCAATTTATATCCAGCATGAGTTCCGGACAAGTTCCAGATTGTATCGGGTATAAGTAATTTTGGGGCCAAGGTGAGACTAGTGCAAGTCTAATTCCCAAGTGACAGTCAAGTCAGTCAGTCAATCAGATAGGTGCAAAGAGGCTGTAGGCTGGCACCCAGGACTAGCAAATGCAACTTTTTTGACCAAGGTGAGACTTATGCAAGTCTAATTGACATGTGCCAGTGAGTCAGTGGGATAGGTACAGTGAGGACTCTAGGCTTGCACTAGGAGATCAGCAAATTCAGCTTTTTGGGCCAAGGTGAGACTTCTGCAAGTCTAATTCACATGTGCCAGTCAGTCAATTGGTCAGTGAGAGTACAGTAAGGACTCTGGCACTAGGAGATCAGCAAATTCAGCTTTTTGGGCCAAGGTGAGACTTCAGCAAGTGACAAGTGACACTGGGTGAGTTAGTATAATTATATCATGTATAATGCACATTTTTGTTTCTGGAAAAAGTGAGAAAACCTCACAATTTTAACCGACTTACGTTTCAGAGAAGCCGTCTGGCTGAAAACAAGGGTCCCATCCAAAACTTGGAGGGCCACGCGGGGACACGATGGTACCCTGAAATGTCAAAACGAACAATCCAAAAAGTAACCGACTCAACTTGCGGAAAGAATGTTGCAACCCGACGCCGCTATTCTTCATATATGATCTCAATGAAGGTCAGTCACTGCAAAAATATTGAAAAGACATTAATCTGGGACTGAGAAACATTTCCAATTTTGTTAGGAAACACTTAGAAAATGTTCTTGACTCTCTATTGACTTTGTACACAACTGCTGAAGTGGCGTCTGGATACTACATTCTTTCCAACTTGCACCTCCGAACCGGGTTCGATTCCCGCCATGGCCGCTTAACAGACTTCAGGATTTTTTAATATTCCAATTTTTTTATCTTCCATAGATTTTGATGGTTTACTTACATGTATTTTAAAGGTCTTCGTCACAGAAAATCCACATAATGTCTTATATTCACCAGAGAAAATGTTAAAAACCATGTATGTTTACGTCTGACGCAGCATCGGTTTTTGGCATTGTCTCTACCATATTTCAAGCAGGCCAATTTTGAGCCAAGCAGTCAACAAAAGACTGGCGCCGCATCCAATGTATGTGTGACAATCCACTGTGGGAGATCAGGTCCCATGCTAGCTACAGAATAATACGTGTATATTGTTCGAACCCTGCCAGCAACATGGTGTTTGTGCCCTTGGGCAAGACACTTAACTACAATTGCCTCTCTCCACCCAGGAGTATATAAATGGGTACCTGTGAGGGTAGAGGACCGAATGTGCGCTGATATCGGCTGCCGCGTGGTCTCGTGACCTGATGAACGGGGTAATAATTGTAAAGCGCTTTGAGATTGTTGATAAGATGGAAAGCGCTATACAGTAAACTCCGGCTAAGTCGGCTCTCCGGACCAGGAAATTTGTGACGACTTAAACGAATGCCGACATCTGCTGTAAGTCGTCATTTTGCCGACTTTAATGAATGGCCTTTTGCACACATGATTCATTGCACTAGTTGGCTTCGATTTATGCGATGTATGCAGTAGGACACCCTTTTTTGACACCGATGCATGCAGCGATCACGGCCGTGCAAAACCATTTTTCACTCGACAGTTCTTGCCAAAACCATTTTTCACTCGACAGTTCTTGCGCAGTACAGGAAGTCGATGCCAATGTGTGATTTATTGAATGCGGACTTACACAAAGGATTTTGTAATGCTTTTTATGGAAAGGGGACCGAGAGTAACACGACGACTTGAGAGAAATGGCGACTTGTAAAAGCCGACTTAGAAATACAAAATTCAATGGAAATGCATTACGAACAATCGGGATCAGACGGCCGACTTGAGCGATTTGACGAGTTGTACGATGTCGGTTTAGCCGGAGTTTACTGTATTTGCATTTGTTATGACAACATAAAGAATGTTAAAGGGTTAAGTGCAAAGGGCAACATACGTGCGTTTTGCCTATGAAGGTCTGTACAGGGTCGTTTGGGTTCCCGTTCGAGTAGGCAAATGTACATAGTGCATAGGCTGACTTATCCTCCCAGCCAGTAAGTAGACGATGCAGACCTGTAAAGGGGGAATATAAAAATATTGACTGCCATGGCATAGTACAACTAGTGCCATAGAAATATGTACATATAGTGGTAGGCTGACTATAATCCTCCCAGCCTGTTAGTAGACGATGCAGACCTGCATTTGCGGAATATAAAAATATTGACTGCCATGGCATAGAACAACTAGTACCCTAGAAATATGTACATAGTGCATAGGCTGACTTATTCTCCCAGTCTGCAAGTAGACGATGCAGACCTGTAAGGGGGAATATAAAAATATTGACTGCCAAAGCATAGTACAGCTAGTACATACCTAGAAATATGTACATAGTGCATAGGCTGACTTATCCTCCCAGCCTGTATTATCATTAAGGATGCAAACTTGCAAAGGGGGAATATAGAAATATTTTATCATGGGATAAAAAAAAAGAAGGATTGACTACTTACCAGATGGACCTAGTTTTGTAAGGAACCACTTTCTACAATAAAAAATACACAAAACAAAGAAAACAAAGACTTTTTTCAATGAGATGATGGACAAATTCAACAGTTTGATCCAACTTCATATATCCTCAATAAAATCAGGAAGACTGGTATAAATTTTGGAAAGTTGGAATTGTGCAAACTTTGTTTCAAAGTTAAAACAAAAGCCCAAAAATAATGAAAAAAAAAAAAAAAAAAAGATTTTTCAGAGAAAGACTTACATGTATGGTCCGGGTAGACCTCCTAATGCGTTGAAACATAGACAGGTATCTTCAACAATGACGGGGCCCTTCACCTAAAGAACGAAAAATGGTTCGTGTTTAAATTTTATGCGAAGTGGTTTGTTTGTACATACAGAAAGCTATTTGACAAACTTGGGGTATTGGACTTTCGAGATATTTAATTTTAACAAATGTGAAAAAAAAATGAGTTAAATAAAGACCACTGTGAGCGAACTTTCACTGTACATTCACGGACGCCCACTTCAATCCTCTTCCCCTGCCATGACTTTTACACAGGCTAGTCACCAACAGTCAGATCATATTTCGAGCAAGCACTGTGACTAGTCAAATTCAGTCAACAGACAAAAGCATGCTAGTGGTAGGCACAGCTGGCGTATCAATCACCTACAATCAAAGCACAGCTGTATCAAGTTACATAAACAGTCACAGCCAGTCAATCCTGCTTTTAGTAGGCTGGGAGCTCTTAACTGTTGAAAACAGTCACTTGATTGACTTTTGACTCTAAGGACAACTTGGCACAGAATGTGTAATTGCATAGGGTTAATGCATAATACTTGCATGTTTGACCGCTTCCTTGCACTTCGCTATCGATATATCGTCCGGCTCGCCTTGAAATTCTGGAACTGCAAAAATCAAATAATAAATATTTTAAACTGAAATTGCTTTCGTTTTTAACCCTCCTAGTCTTCTGCACTTCGCAACCCTTCAAGTTTTGCTAAACCACTGATACCCATAGAGTTTAGCGGTTGTATCGAAAACGAAGACCCCTTAAATGAAGACCGAAGATCAAAGATCCACTCGAAAACAAAGGGCCACTTGAAAACGAAGACCCACTCGAAAACGAAGACTCACTCGAAAACGGTCTTCGTTTTTGAGTGAGTCTTTGTTTTCGAGTGGGTCTTCGGTCTTCGTTTTAGGGGTCTTCGTTTTCGATACTACCAGAGTTTAGCACCCATACTTCAAATTCATTTGAGGTAATCTTCTGAGGAGTATGGATAACACTTCAAATCCCTGCACAATCCTTTTGTGTGGTTATAAGCTCAGGGCAAGCAGGCAGATTCAGTCACGCTTCACTGCTCTCCACAGTGCTGTCTGTGACACAATACTTTAACACTTCATAAAAGTTAGGCGATTTCCAACGATCTGTCAGTTGACTGATTTTTGGGGAAAAAAGTGCTAATTGAAAAATCGTGTTTCGTGATCAACAGGTTGTGCATTTTTTTTTTTATATTTTCTGAAAAGGTGTAATATCCACTGAGCTGAAACTTCAGCAGGTTGGATATAAACATTCCTCTTTGGATTTTGAGTGGTGTTATTTTTGGGAACGAACAAAGTGCATGAAAAGTCTTTTGTGCCTTTTAATCAATAAGAATATTAATCTGAACAGTTCCAAATCTTGTCCGAAACTTACGGTCGATGCTTCGGGACGTCACATTAAACTTGTCACCAAGAATGGCTATTACCTGTTTAAAACAATGCACAAAGGGGAAAAAACTTGTAAAAAAAAAACATGGTCAATTATTGTTTTTGTCAAATAAACAGCAGGCAAAGTATGAGTACTTAAGGTGAATTATGTACAATATGAAACAAAAAATTAAGTCGAAAACTGATATCTGATTCTGGACAAGTCAATGATTTTCAAATTTAGACTGATTTTTAAATATGCTAGTGCAGGCCAATCATTCAAAAATTAATGGTATATTGCCAAAATGATTTTAAACTTAAAACAGTTAAACAACTTTTAATTGAAAACACCCAAGTTTAAATTTACAATGGAATTACTTCGCTGCGACATGTTCTTTGCCACGTGTCCTACAAATTTAGGGTGCAAACTGTGACATTTTTCCTGTCCCTGTTGCCTTGGTACTTTGTATCTTAAGTATCATCAAGAATGACTCCAAAAGATAATTTTGTTGTAGGGTAGGTAGTTTGCTATTCATAATCACTCTTGGAGGATGACTGCATTAAGAAGTGCATCAGAATTATAAAATCATAGATGTCAGATGTAACAGGGACGGGAAAAAAAGTGAACCACAAATTTACAGAATGAAACGCATTCAAATTCAATGTGGGGACAATATCAAACACTAAAACTGTTTCATTGGTTGAAAGTTTAGCTCAAGTAAAGTTCAGTTGAAAGTTGAGTTATTTTGCAGGTTTTTCTTTTTTGATGATTTCATCTCAGGATCAGGGAGTTGCAGACTGCTCATCTACACTCACTTCTTCCAGCTTCTTTGCATTTCCTGTCACAAACACAAGGTCCAGGACCGTCTTGGCTTTCTTGGGAGACGATCCTGCCATTCTGGTAAAGAACGCTATGGAGAAATCATATTTTAATTTTTCATTTAGGCCAATCATTACTTTTATAATTTTAAATTAAACATCATTTGTCATGATTGTGTTAATTTGCTACTGTTATTGGAATGATTAGACTTGTTTCTTAATTTGTCTACATGTTTGAGCTACTGAGTGGAGCGCTAGAACTGTGGTGAAGTTCTAGTGCTCCACTCAGTAGATCTAGAGCAGAGGGCCTCCCCCTAATGTCGTTGTTGAGGGTTACATTTTTGTAGCTTGAGTAATTCCAGCTCATATGCTGATGGGGAATTTGACATATTCAATATACATGTATGTTGAATTCCCGATGAGCATACGAGGTGGAGTTACTCAATCTACTTCTTTGTTCTAAGTTCTAGGTGATCATGTGATAATCATAATAAAATTAATAACTTTAATGAAGTCATAAATCATCATCATCATCATGGGGATTCATGGTGGATTCATGATCCGATGATCAGGTGATGATGATATTAATGATAACTGTGATTTTATTTATAAAATAATAATTATAATAATATTAATAATAATGACATGCATCACTGTCATAACGATAAAATATAGAAAATAAAATGGAAATGGAAAGATTTCCCATATCTGGCCATAAGAAATGTCCTAAAAAGTCACATTTATCAAGGCCTAGTACTTAGTAATAGTAGGCTACTACTATACTACTAGTACTAGGCCTACTACTGAGAAAACACTTACATAGTCTTAGGCCTAGGCCCTACTCTTTTTTGTTGTTGAAATTTTCAGACCAGTCTCATGTGCACAGGTAGCTCTACTGAGTGGAGCGTTGAATTACGGGTACCCCTCCATACAAACGCTCCACCGATTTGCCATACTTTGGTAGCACCATACACGGTCGTCATGACGGTATGCATTTTGTGCATGCCCTCGCGAGGACAAGGCCCCAAAAAACTGATAAAGAAAATACAAATGAGGAAGACAGTAACCCTGGATAGATCCACACATTCATGACATTCCATATGACCCCTCAAATTGTTTCAAGCAACCGGTAATTTTGAAAAAAGAACAAAATAGTCTGAACTTACCGCTCACAATTAAATGTGTCTGCCGAGTTGCACAGTCTATTTCACTGACATGACTGATGCATAATTCATTGCGCGCGTGTGTGACGTCACTATTGAAGAAAAACAAGTTGCGCTTACTCAATAGCTGTTTTATGTAGTCATATGTGCCCCGCGCCGTCTGACTGGGGGTTTTTGGTGCGGGGCACATATCAGTACATGAAACAGTCATTGATTAAGCGCGACTTGTTTTTCTTCAATAGTGACGTCACACACGCGCGCAATGAATTATGCATCAGTCATGTCAGTGAAATAGACTGTGCAACTCGGCAGACACATTTAATTGTGAGCGGTAAGTTCAGACTATTTTGTTATTTTTTCAAAATTACCGGTTGTTTGAAACAATTTGAGGGGTCATATGGAATGTCATGAATGTGTGGATCTATCCAGGGTTACTGTCTTCCTCATTTGTATTTTCTTTATCAGTTTTTTTGGGCCTTGTCCTCGCGAGGGCATGCACAAAATGCATACCGTCATGACGACCGTGTATGGTGCTACCAAAGTATGGCAAATCGGTGGAGCGTTTGTATGGAGGGGTACCCGTAATTCAACGCTCCACTCAGTAGAGCTAGTGCACAGGGTGTCAAGTGCAAGTGATGGCCAGATATGAGAATTTTTCCATGAAAATATCGCCAAGCATTTGCTTTGATCTAGTTTTATTCTGTTCAACTATCCACAGAACCGAAGTGGGGCCGGGGGCTCACCAATGTTTACGTTGGTTGCTGGGTAGAAGTCTCCGCCGGCCGTGCGTGCAGTTCTTCCTGCAGAATTAAATCACATGTACACAGTGCACCACGTGCAAATGGAGAATAGCGCCACCAATCGACGACAGAAGGTCAGGATTTGAGTCACGCAATTTTGTCTGATTTTTTAAAGCTCAGAACTTGTTCAATATTTTTTGGATGAAGGTTATCGGCTTTTCTTCTTGCTCTTGAGAGAGGTGGGGGGAAGGGATAGATACCCAACACCTGAACGTTTTTCGTTTAGATGGGACAATATTTTGATACAAGAAATTGGCAGGAGACCTGGGGGAACTTGAGGGAAAATCCTGTGACTTTTTCAACATCTTTTGTGTTTGTAGGGGAGGGACTATTTTTTTAATAACAGAAATCGGGCATCAGTGTGAGTCAAATAAAATAACTTCGATTACACCAGTCCAAGAAACACCTGTACCGAAATAAGGAACACAAGTTGATACATTTCTTGTACAATTATCTGAGGAATTTAATATGAAACCATTAACAATTTGTGTAAAAATGAAACCATTTCAGCTGGACATTCATCTTTCCAAACAATTGCTAGGAGATTCTTAAAAAGTTCTTAAAAATGCCTTGCATTTTTGTTTTATAAGGCAAATAAGTAAAATAGGAAAAGATTATATAAATAGAAAAAAAAATACCCTGGCATATCTGGTCAGGGTTACCACAGAAATCTTAAAATGAAATTCCACAAGTTTTCCACGACGAATCCAGTGAACCTAGTACATACCAGCCTTGGCACCAAGCAGTACCCATGATAAATGCAACCAACTGCAACCGTGGATTCCCTTGGCACTATGAGCAGTTACACTGCTAAATGCAACAAGATGCAAAAGTGGATTCTGTTGCACCAGCATTGGCACCAAGTAGTTACCATGGTAAATGCAACCAAAAGCAACAGTGGATGTTGTATTGCCTTGGCACTATGAGCAGTTACCCTGTATGCAACAAGCTGCAACAGTGGATTCTGTTGTATCAGCCTTGGCACTATGTGCAGTTACCATGCTAAATGCAATCAAATGCAACGGTATATGTTGTATCACCTTGCCACTATGAGCAGTTACCCTGCTAAATGCAACAAACTGCCACAGTGGATTCTGTTGTATCAGCCTTAGCACAAAGCATTTACCGTAGTGAATGCAACCAAATGCAAATTCTGTTGTATTGCCTTGGCACCAAGCAGTTACCATGGTAAATGCAACAAGATGCAACAGTAGATTTTGTTACACCGGCCCATGCACTATGAGCAGTTACCCTGCTAAATGCAACAAGATGCAACAAAAGCACAACGACTTGAGTTGGCTGCTAAATGCAACAGTATGCAACAACTTTTTACCAGTGTTGCTTTCCGTTGCATTTAGCAGGGTTAGGGACTGTCAGAAGATTATCTTTTCCAACGATTGGTGCAATAACAAAAACAATCCAAGTGGAAGTTTTGACGCTGGCTGGATTCGAACCCGGTATTCCTTACTGGCTCATTGTTCTGTTTGTCCTAAAGGCAAGCGCAGACTTCCAAGAGCTTCTCACATTGCCTTGTCTAGTTCCCAGACCTATTTACTTAAAACTTAATGGTTCTTGGGCATGGAGTGCTGAATGGTTACACATAAATAACTGGTGAAACTGATGAGCCATTGAACAGATGATTTCATTGGCTGAAGTAATCCACTGCTATCCTATAGTGTCCAATTTCACTGTCGACGTTATTTTACATATTGAAGATTCACGTAGCACTGTCCTGGGCATGGTTTGCTGGCGCAGGCGGTTGCACATGGCCGTTGCCCTGTTGCTGCTGCTGTTGTTGAAGAAGTTGTTGCTGTTGCGCTGCCTGTGCTGCTTGCAGCTGCGACCATTCTTCTTGCTCGATCACGGCTTGTTCCTCTCTTGCCTGAAAACCAAAAACGAACCATTCAAAATTCAGGAGTTTCTGAGCCTTCACAACTTTTAAAGGGAATAAACATCATTTGCTTTTGCTGTAATTTTCAGAAATGGATTGAATTGGGGGGTTGGAAATATATAGCAAATATAGTTACACTGACTTTTTTGAGGTTTTGGGTTCGAAAATGCTATAAAAACCAAGAAAAACGATCATTTTCCTGTAGTCTGGTTCCCTGACTCCATATAAGAAGAAACAAAGCAGTTTACATACATTAGGGAATTGTAAGGTCAGGGAACCAGTCTAGCTGGCTCGTACCCGTTCATAGGTTTGTAATCGATTGCAAACAAGTGCGATGGTCAATTGGGGCCAGTATTTGAAAAAAAAGCCAGTTGTTTCCAACGCTGATCGGCCGATCAGCGTTGGAAATTGATACAAAAATACCACTTTTCTTAAAAATGACAGTATACCGGGTGCAATGATTTTACAGGATGCTTTACACTGTCATTCACTAACAGTCCAGCAAGGTATTTCAAAATGATTTGGTAGTTTTATTTTTTGATGTTTGCAAATGTTGTAGTTTCCCTTTAATATTTCCATGAAGGGAAACTGACAAGACATTTAATCTTTTTTTTTTTTTTGTGATTTGAAAAAATTGAGAAAAAATATCCCTCCCTGAAACTTCTTTTGACAACTGAGCTGCCGATTCAGTTTTTAGTTTTGGTCAAAGGAATATATAGGAGAAGATAAAAAAAATTTGAAAAAAAATTGTTGCGACACATTTTTTTTTTCTTCTTCACTTACCCGAGCAAACAATTCCTCTTGTTGCCGTAGCAACTCCTCCACTGGTATTCCCAGGTTTTCTAATCGGTTACTAGCGCGCCTCTTCTTAGCGGCGACCGTCTTACATTCTTCCAAAACTGATCTGCAGTCTTCGAGGTAGGCTCCGAATCCCAAGCTATCTAGGGCTGTGAAAAATGAACAAAATAATCAGTTTAATAGACCAATGTCAAGTGATATTTAGGGCCTTTCCATTTCTAAAATTCACAACGAAAGAGAGCAGTATTAAAACTTTCCCAAATCCTCCAAAATCTTCTTTGCAAAACGGAAGATTTTGCAGGATTGAGGCTATATGTCAAAAATGTACGGCAGATTTTGCAGGATACACTGTGTCAAGGTCTTGGGCCAGACCTTGTGTTGTTTATGCTCAGCCATGCATAAATTTAGGCCTAGATTATATTTTGGACTAACTATACCTGGGACGACCCGAACTACAATTAGGACGTCGTAACTATAGGTAGGAGATCCCAACTATTGCTAGGACTGACATAACATCTCACCAGCTAACACATGTTCCGGAGAAATTGTCTTCTTCAGGCTCTTGTTGCACATGTCGTTGGCTTCGGACGAGATCAGGTGGATGAATTCCGTGCAGCAGTTATTGATCAGCTCTCGCGAGTCGTTGGAGACACGGACCGAGGGCAGCAGCTCCTTGATCATCTTGTTGAGCGCAGCGCGGGGCACGCTCAGATCGTCCTCTGGTGTCCCACTTTCCGCCATGGTCGGAGGAGTTGGACCCGAGTTGGCTGGAACTGTAGATGAAGTCAAATTATTTACAAAGAAATTCAATTCAACTTTACTAGACCTTAAATTATCAATCCTATAGGAAAAATTCGGCTACCCGATCACCACTTTTTTTCAATCAATTTTCTAGCGCCAAAAGTTAGATCTTTTATGGTTATTCCCTCCACTTTCCCTCCTCTACTTTCACCCTCTCCTTTCCTTAATTTCTATTTATCAATCAGTCACTCACTTCTTCGAGATTCGAACCTCGGACGCTTGCTTGATACACGAGACTCTCAACCGCTAGGCCGCGCACGATCGCTGTTGCAATAATCAATCTTTGGACTTTGCTTTGGACGTATTTGAAGTATCCATTGAAATAAACTAAATATTCATGAGAAAATAAATATTCATAATGACGTATTGCACTATCATTGGCCGGCTCATGCGACGTCATGGTTATCGATGTCATGCGTATAACGTATCGCTGTTCCAGACACTTCAATCAGTTTTGACCGGCTGCTTCAACTCAGATCTGCACTACATGTGCATGCAAAATGTGCTCTAAAAACACATTTTTACTAATTTTTTTTCTCATGTCCACTGTTTCCTGGATTCCTCTTGGTTGAAATCACAAGGTGAGTTGAAAATTTGGATGTTTGGCGGCAGGTAAGTGGTGATCAGTTGGCCGAATTTTCCCATCCTATACACAACACAAGACTTTTATTCAATTTCAACGCAACAAAACTGGCCTTAGCATGTTAGCCCCACTACTGTCCCGTCTTCCTACACTAGGTGTAACTCCATCCCCACACCCCCTCCGACCCCGACCCCGCCCCCTCCCTCCCTTCCCCCTCCCAAACAAAAACATGTCCGTTCTGAAATAGAGGGCGCCCTCGTCGAAGTTCATCTTTCAAAGTCAAACTAGTCTCAATATCACTTGCAAAAAACCCTCAATATTTCAGCTATTTCTCTGTTCTGCACAGGTGTGACAATCATGGAAAATACTTAAAAACAAAATCTTAAAACTTAATCTATTGTTGCGCCGAAGCACAACAAAATAAGTTTAAATAACCGAGAAAAATACCCCGGATTTTATTACCTACGTGCCTAGGCGCCTGTCGTGTGCTGTTTGCTAATGCGTGAATACGGTGAATACCAGTGGACCTTCTCGCGTACGTACAAATTGAATAGGACGAAGGATGTGAGAAACCAGTTTAAAATCGGCCTAGTTTTGTCTCTTGAGGGCGCAGTTCCTAATCTCTGATCCCCCAAATCAGTGAACGTGGCAGTGGCAGTGCGGCGGTGAGTTTGTTTTGTTTTTCCTGTTGGATCATAGCTTAGGCTTATATTTTGATGGTTAGTTAGCCTAGTTGTTAAGTGAATTATGGAGAAAGTATTGTTAATATTTGGGATTGTCTAATTATTTCATCATATTTTTTTTATTGTTTATTTAGGCCTATTAGGTGTTAGGCCCCCAAGTTGTTGTTTCTTTTTTGAGGGGGGGGGGGGGGGGGGAGGTTTTTTTGCTAGTCTGGTTCCCCGACCTGACAATTTCCCCCGACGTCTACACGTCTAAATTGGGTACAACTATGCAGGGCCACTTTACTCTACATCCGCGCCTCCGTACGGCTGCGTGGAGGCGTGGAGCCGACCTACCTCCGAAAATCGATCGTGGAGTGGTACCGTGGAGCCGCAGTCGATATCTCCGAGAATTGCGCCCTCTATCGGTGCGCGTCTCTGCGACTCCACGACTCCGCGCCTCCGCCACTCCAGACAGTTCCCCGTCGCCCTCCTCCCTTCCTAATTTGCGAGCCCATTTAAAATGGATATGATATGGATGCTTCGTTCTCAAAAAAATTCCGCCGAGAATTGCGCCCTCTATCAGCGCGAGTCTCTGCGACTCCGCGACTCCGCGCCTCCGCCACTCCAGTGCCCCGCGACTCTGCGACTCCGCGACTCTGCGCCTCCGCCACTCCGCGACTCTGATCCGTACCGTGCCCCCAACACATTTACAAGCACGCCCTCCCTTCCGATCCTTCATGAGAAGCTTAGAAGACAAGTGCATTCGCTGTACTTAGCACTTTTTGCAGGTTTGCATATCTATTACTCCTATCCATCCACGCCTCCAGGCAAAATAAAAAACCTTGCTCCGGCGTGGCCCTGCATTCTATAGTTGCTCCGTTTTTTTCCCTGTTCGGTGACCAAGAAAGACAATCATTGAATCAAGTAAGTATACCAAGTATACCAAGTATCAGTATCACTTCTACTTCTACTTCGATAATTGACAGTGCGTCCAATTGGATATCTCGTCAATTTGCTTGGCATGCACGGTGTGGACCAGTGTAGACTTAACACATTTACAAAGTGTACGTGTAGGTGCAGAACAAAATCCAAAAAAAAAACCCAAAAAACCCAAAAATTTACGGTGAGATATTTACAGTGAAGTCTGGACTTTGTTTTAGAAAGCCACGGTGAGCAATCCAGTCCGAAATGCATCAAGACTGGGTGCAGCATGCACTGTGGCTGGGATGGAGTTCCAAAGTGGAATATCATGACAATATAGGCCTACAATGTTAATTTTGTCACAAAACTCAAGAAACAACTTAACTCCCGCCATTAAAGGCCATGACAGACATGACAGATGATGTATGCAGCTAGCTTCGTGCCTCACTCGGCCGTTCTTAATCGAGTAATGCGTAAGTTTAAATTTGCAAGTTGAAACAACAAGCGCAAGGTATCCAAATTGCATTCAACAGTAGCGCACAACCATACAGTCTAGGCGAATCCATTGCCCAGAGTTTTAAGATTGCATTCTGCAAATATTCAATAGAATGACTTTATCTGCCAATATTTTGTTCATCTTCAACAGCACGAGTGGCGGGCCATGGCGTGGACGGGATTCACAGATGAACAGCTGCGGCGCTTGAAATCGGGTTCCGAGCAAGGTAAAAACTAGCCCCATAAATGTGGCCAAATTACTGGACTACCTCCGTAAATAAAGGCCACACTTCCACCATGTACAAAAACATGTCGAACTTTGTCAACTTTTGATTTTCACATGTAGGCTTAGTTTGTAGTTTATTTTTGCTTTAGAAGCATACTCAGCTCACCCTCAATATACTGTAGGCTAATCAGAAAGTGCTTCCTTTTTCAGATGTCTAATTTTCATGAAATTCCATGTTGAAATTTTGATACGCAAACGTGTGCAAACGAATCTGGAAATTTCACGAAAATTAGACATCTGAAAAAGGCAGCACTTTCTGATTAGCCTTTAAAGAGGGCGAGTATGCTTCTAAAGCAAAAATGAACTACAAACTAAGCCTAAATGTGAAAATCAAAATTTGACAAAGTTCAACATGTTTTTGTACATGGTGGAAGTGTGGCCTTTATTTATGGAGGAAGTCCAGTAAATTGGCCACATTTATGGGGCTAGGTAAAAACATAACCCCTCCTGCTATCTCAACAGTCACAGACAGTCACAAAATCAATCTTCTTCCCCTTCCATGCCTTTTGCACAGGCTAGTTGACTAGTCACAGTGCTTGCTTGAAATACGATCGGACTGTGCCAACAGTCCAATTACAAAAAAAAAATACTTTTTTTTCCTTATTTTTGGTTGTCTGTAACCCACTGAAAAAGGGCTTTCGTTTTGTGCACAAATGAACCTGCCGTGCGAGAGCCAAATTATTGTTGAGCCGCAAATTGTTTAAATTTTTGTAAAGAAAGAATTCAGTCGTTACACTAAATGTGATGCGATCCAGATCAAACTCGAAGTGGCACAGGGAACACATCTTTAACATATTGTCTTTTTGTGTCTTTATTTGTAGAGCCTGGCGCCAGTCACCAGCCAGTCAGAAGAGCCAATGAAAGCCACAGTCAACGCAACAGACCCCAGACAACCAGACCCCCACCCCAGAGGGGGAAGGGACTCCCGCCCGCCCAAAACCCCGCCCACAGAACGGAACCCCTGTCGCTCAACCAGAGCCAGATGCTCTCCAAACCGAAACAGTTGCCTCAGCAACAAAGACAACGGACCAATCAGAGAACAAGTCTAACAGAAACACCTGGCCCTGACGGGGCGCCGTCCAATCACGACTCGGATGGTACCAAACCCCCTGTTCAGGGTAACCAATCAGATCGACGAACCCCTGTCGATCAACAATCTGATGCATCAAGAGAAAAGGCACGAACTAATTCAGGCAAGGGACAGAATGCGTCAGGGGGAGGGACAACAACTGATGGATCGGCCAGGGAGAGGACAGCCGATGGAACAGCAAATAAGAGCGAGGCACCAATCGGGAAGGAGCTAAACGAGAAAGAAGGATTGAGGTATTTGCAAAACTGTTATTTTAATAGTCGTAGCAGGGGACATTATCTCACCCCTAAATTCCCAGTGTCCAGTAGGTGCACCCCTCCCCCCCCAAAAAAAAACAACTGAAATGTTGCAGTAGAATCCTCCCCCTCCCCCCCCCCACAAGTGTTTCATTCAAGTTTTTTTGATAATAATTTGGTAGTTTGACCCTGTATGCCTCTATAGCCCTTTTCACACTAGACAAATCTCGGGGTTGACGCAGGGTTGAGAACATGCATCGTTTCACACTTGAAGAATTTCAACCCTGCGTCAACCCCCGAGATTGATTTCACCCCGGGTTGAACTCAACCCTGCTCTAGACCAGGGTTGAGATTTTTAACCCGGGTTGAAAATCTTGCCAGGGTTCAAAACAGTAGTAACTGAGCATGATAAGCTTGATTTGCATGAAACAAGTGTGAAACGATGCGGGGTTGAACGTTGGGTTGAAAAATCAAAAAGTCAACCCGGGGCGGCACTGGGTTCGCCCAGGGTTGAGTTCAACCCGGTTTGAGAGGCTCTAGTGTGAAAAGGTTAACATAGGGTTGTAGTCAAGTCCAGTCACAAGTGAGATCACAAGCAACATTGGATTCATGACACGAGGATGGGTGTGGAATGCTTTGGCCTCGTGGTTAAGGGCATTGGATTCATGGTCTGCAGGTAAAGCTGCAGGTTGTGGGTACGAGTCCAGCCTGGGGACATGATGCATGTGCCCTTGGGCAAGGCACTTTATCACGCATTGCTTCTCCCCACCCAGGAGTAAATGGGTACCTGTGAGGGCAGAGATGGTTATTGTGATTGAATTAGCTTCCTTGCGCCTAACAGGCTGCGTCTAGCTGTATACTCCCCAGGGAGCTGAGATGGTATTTGGAATGTTTAATTGGCCCAGTGAGCAGGGGTAATAATGATGTAGCGCCTTGAGCACCAGTCCTGGTTGATATGCATGCTTTATAAATACCCACTATTAGTTTATTTTACGGTTCATTTTAATTCCTTGTGACTTGTTTTGTGATGAACAACTTGTTAGAAAGAGTTCACAACTTTTAAGGGTTTTGACTACAATTGAGCCATACAGCCATTTGATAATACTATTTATCCAACTTTTGTGAAATTTGTGTTCACAGCCGAGAGTTAACCAAACTGGAGGAATTTCAGCAGCGACAGAAGGAAATCGAAGACGAGAACCAGAGAAAGAAGAACCTACTGGCAATGGCCATCGCTGACAGGTCAGAAAACGGGGCGGGGGGGGGGGGGGCACAGAAGGCAAGAATTGTAACACTACATTGTACAACACGTTTTTATTGAGGTCTTGTGTTCTATTAACCCTTTAAACTCGGCCCTAATTTTTTATTTTTTTTTTACTAAGTTAATTTCTAGGACTATTTTCATTAGTACTGTACTGTGTGAGTTATATACCAAATATGACAGGTGACAAAGAGCGTACTGGAATTCACTGTATATGACAAACGGTCATAACAAACCACGCGTGGTAAACAACAGAGGCCCAACGTCTTTTTCACTTCACCTGTGAAAGCGTACCGTTCAGATACGAAAACAAACAACACCATTGGGTAGCCAGTCTAGATAGCTCAAAAATGGTATCAGACATGAGTCAAAAAAGGGCAGCAAACACAAAATACAAATTCTCTGACATTTTCGATCGCCGGCAATCGATTTTACACAGGGCTGAGTTGAAGGGGTTAAAACAAGGAGCATTGGTCAACTTGTGCGCTGTAGTGGGTGATTTGTGATGTAAGTTACGCTGATCGGCCGATCAGCGTTGGAAATTGATACAAAAATACCACTTTTCTTGAAAATGACAGTATACCAGGTGCCATGATTTTACAGGATGCTTTACACTCTCATTCACTAACAGTCCAGCAAGGTATTTCAAAATGATTTGGTAGTTTTATTTTTTGATGTTTGCAAATGTTGTATTTTCCCTTTAACTGAAAGTAAGCCCGACTGTCTAGTTTATAGCACACGCCATGGTTGCCAACCAAACGCTTGCCTTCTGCAATGGTGGCCGATCATGGGGAAACCGGATGATCACGCGGTACTTTAGCGTCATACGATCAGAACCTATCCGCTCCGTTCACAAGTACCCCTCCACCGGCAAACAAAGTACAGGGGGTGACCGACCGACGCCATCTTGCCTGACTGCAATTTTGCCACGACGCGCGGCCGTACAACTGCGTGTACATAGTGCAAATCCCCTGGTGTACATGCGTCACACACAAGGAACGGTGCGTGTCAACCAGCTAAATGTCCCGCCCATGGGACGTCGTTGCTAGGTAAAAGGGCGCCCTCTTTCGTTGGCGCACGGAGCCCATAGTTGATCGTAATCTTTGTTGAATTTGCTCCATGATGAACGTTAATTCTTGTGACCCAAATTCATGGCTACACATGCATTATTCATGGAATTTCAATCTCTGGTTCTGTATTCTTGGTTCTTACAGGAAGAAGAAAACCCAGGCCGAAGTCAAGAGGCTTGCCTTCATCCAGAAGGAGCTGAGTACGATTGAGGAATTCCTGACCACCGACGTCAACATCCTGCGCGACAAAATAGAGGAGGCAAGCCGACACTACTCTGAAGCACAGTACGTAGAGAGCTTATCTTTTTCAGGGCTAATAAGTAGAACAATTTGCGAAGTGCAGAAAATATTTTCTGAGTAAAAATGCGTATCGACCCTGGCTATGAGTATTGGTCAGCTAGACTCACTGTGATTTTATTACACAAACATATATGGTTCTTGTCAGAGGGGCTGGGGTTTGGCTAGGATTTTCAGGGTTAACCCACACATGCACACTGCACTTCTACACACATACACAGAAGTATGTATATGCCTGCAATTGGGGACCCCCTACTGTCCCTCTTTAGTTTGTAGTTTAGACCTCCCATATGTTTTGTACACGAGCGGAAATTGGGGAGCCTTCGGGAATCGGAGACCCTATTGTCCTCTATTGTTCAACGTCCCCTATTTTTCAACGTCCCCTATTGAATGCATAAACAAACTCACTTGACACGTGGGGTTTATGGGGTACCACTATTCTCTACTTTACTTCCCTATCATTGTTCGCCTTTGTTTCTATTGAAATCCCTAATGCTGTGGGTTTTCTGCTGTGGGGTACCAAGATTTCTAAAGACCAACTTGCCAGGTACTATTGACCCTATTGTTGCTCTTTGTTCTCAGTACCCTGTAAGTACCCATATGTCAGTACACAGTTGTGTATCGACCTCCCACTGTGGACGTTCTATTGTCCCTCTTTTCTTTGTACTTTTTAGGAAGACTCCCATATGTTTTGTACACAATCCCAAATTGCGGACGTATTTATTGTGACTGGTTCCCAGACTATTTGTGCTTAGCATGCAAATTTCTTAAGCAATATGTTTCTGCTTAACTGATGAAACAGTACCCTGAAGTGATAATGTTATTTAATTTTTTCAGGAAGAGGTACCAGAAGGCAGAGGCCGAGTTTGTGACGGCCAAGATGAGCCTCCACAAGGCGTCCGAGCACAAGGAGGCATTAACAGAGCATCTGTGCACCATCATCCGGGAGAACGAACTACGCAAGTCCAAGAAACTCGAAGAGCTGGTCGAGAAACTGGAAACGGACAACTTGGCGGCTTACGAAGCCCAGATGGAGGCGGCGGAAGCGGCAAAGAAGGCCGAGTCACAGCGTCATCCTTCATCGTCATTGGACGATACGGAGACAACCCCGGTCTCATCTGGTCCAAACCCACCCATAGAAAAAGTTCCCCGAGAACCCGGTCAAACAAACACGGCATCCGGAACCGAAACTTCGCATGAATTAACACTCGGCTCCAGTTCACAAACCCATGAGTCGACGAACCCGACTCCTGGAGAAGAGACTAAGGCCCCACAAGGTCAAAGTTCAACTCACACATCTGGCGAAACTGACTCGCCTGCTGTTTCATCACAAGGTCGGAGTTCATCAACCTCTACCTCAGGGGATGTAACAACACTGCAAGAGGTGGCAGAGCCAGTTTCAACCTCGGACCCAAATTTGGCAACTCGGAATGTGAACGTGGATATGAAGCCACTCAGCACAACGGAAGTATTAAATAACAATTTGACAACGGAATCAGAAGGAAATCAGACCTGATAAAATAACCAGAACAGCTGCAAGTCCTCAAAATTATCTTGTGAAGGTGTTTCATATTCAGAGAAAAAACTTCACAGTTTACCACTGCCAATCCAATGTCTGTGATACAATTACAATTGTTTTGTTTTATTGATTTTACCTTCAAGACTTTTTTTTTTTGGAAAAAACCATTGTGGTTATGGTAAAAGACCACCCCTTCAATTAAAGATATAGTCCATCATTTGTAATTTGTGCATTTTGTTCGTTTGAAGCAACAAAAGTGTTCAAAATCTAATGAAGGATACTGAACAACTAACCTGATGAAGTTTCAGCTAAGCTTCAGCTGTATATTCCGAGAAAAACAGCATTCTAGGATCCCCAAAATCAAAAGTTGCTGAATCATGTTTTGAATTGTTTGGAATTGCAGCTATACGCGACGTCGTGCACTGATCCGACGAATTATAGCAACCGCGTGTGCGTCGTGCCAATGCTTGCGCGCGCTTCGCCGAATAACAAAACGAACTACTAATTTAAATTTTCCTACGGTGCATCGTAAGACGCACCGTTGGAAAGGTCTTCTTTCGTTGATTACTTCAAAATGACAGCTTCCCAGAGAGAATAATTTCACAGGGAGTTTAGTCCACTTACTATCTTTCAACCAAGTTTGTTTTTCAACAATAATTACGCCAGTTACTTTTCGGATGGCTGCAAATGATGGACTATAGCTTTAAACCTGCTCTGTGAAATTATTCACATTAAAAATTGAATTTGCTAGGTCACTACATGTACATTATCCCTCTTAGAATTCTGCACTTCACAACCCCTTACAGAACCATTTTGCGGGATAGCAGCTCAACAAATCATCGTATCTCTTCGTTAGTTAGTAACAAACGTTGACATTGTCTATTGCTCCTACATATTTCGACCGATTTCAACCAAACTTTGTCAAAAGTATCAGTAGCCCAGCCCCAACATGTCACATGACCAAACTGGGGTCAAGGTCATCATGAGGTCACTGCAGTAAGAAACCTTATTTTTGGACTCAAAACACTACTTCCAGAAATTACATGGCACAATCACGTGACTCATGCATGAACACGAATTCATTGGCCCGCAGCTTCTGAGCTTGTCATCCGTAGAGTTAGCGCCCACACTTCTAAATTCCTTGGAGGTAATCTTCTGAGGAGTGTGGATAACACTTCAAATCCCTGCACAATTCTCGTGTGTGGCTAAGCTCAGGGCAAGCAGGCAGATTCAGTCACGCTTCACTGCTCTCCACAGTGCTGTTTTTTGTTGTGGCAGTGACTCTCTGCGTGACACAGTCACTGCAACACTTCATATCCCTCTACTTGAAACTGACCTGCAGGGTTTTACATTATTGCTCAGAAATGGCACAAGATTTCAACAATAGTTTTGGTGTTTTACATAAATTGCATGTACACTAAAAAAAAACTAATGGTGCCTAGGTACTTAACACAGACTATATTTTTGCAGGGTTACGTTTCATATAGACAACAGAGTTTATTTTTAAGATACAATTGTTACCTGTCACTAGTTGGTATGTCTATTTTACTACAGAACAAAATACTTCAAAATATATTTTCCTAGGTAATCTTAAATATACATGAAATAGTTTATTTAGTTTAGTTCATTGTTTTTTTCATTGATGAGATGTGTGCTTTTATTACTTTTCTACACAAGGTGTAGGGCTGTCCAGTTTCACATAATTTAGTATTCGATTATCGAAAATGTGTTTGACTGAATATTTGAAAGTCGGCGATCAAGTGTTCCACGCAACAGCGCGCCACGCCAGTCAAATAATGTGTGTGCGGCAATTCATATTATGGGCCACTGGAGTGTTTTGCAGTAGGCCTATGTACATGTACATGTATTTTATAACTGTCAAGGGCTTTAACCTGCTAAAAGGACGAGAACAATGAACTGCTGTTGACAAAAAAAGTTACCGTCGACAAAAAAAGTGGCATCTGACAATTAAGCGCTGCGAGTTTACGATGAAAATAACATCCAGTGGTGTGTGCACATGTACGTGTACGTGTGTATTTTTTTTTTTTTAATATTCCAACCGGAAAAAGCTATTCGAATACTCAGTTGACTTTCTAATATTTGGTATTTTCAGGACAGCCCTAACAAAATGTTAATTTTGTACCTGAACTTCAATTTTTTAATCCTTTGAATTTTTCTACCCGAATAGCTGAACGATTCAATATTCAACGCAATAAAATAGAGTATTACAGTATGAGCTATAATCGAGTAACGTAAGTTATGTAACTTTCCTGTACAAACGGATGCCCTTTTGTGTCATGTGAACAAATCAAATGGAAATATGACATCATCGCCGACATCACCGGTTTCCACATCGGTTTCCACTGTGCGTGGTACCAGTCTTTGACAATTGTCAACAGTGGCTTTCCTTTCACTGGTATCCGCATCATCTGTTTGCACAACTCTCTGACTGATGCATGCTGTTGATGGAACTGGTTCCCCGCCTTGTATTTTTAATTGTGACTCATTCGTCAAGTCTTTGCTTTTGCAGTTTTTAGAATGTCCGTGCATTGGGTCAGCCGAGCTGGTATCTATTTCACTGGTGTCCCTTGCTGACTTGCGGGTCTGCCTTTTCTCGTAAGCTTTGCAGCAATTTTTGCATGACTTTTCACAAGCAACAGAACGGACACTTGGTTGGTAGTTTTCCAATCGTTTCATCAAATTTGTATGGAACCTGCAAAGAATAAAATGGTGAACAGTCATTTGTGTTTGATATAAAAAGCAATGGGTCAGTTCAGATCAAATGTGAACCAATATTGTGGAATGAGTCAGAAATTAAAAACTACAATCATCAAAATTGTTGCAAACCTTTCAATCCGTTTGGAGTTCTCTCCAAGTTTGGCGTTGGCCTGTTGCACCAAGAAGTCCAAGTACTGGGAGGAAACTAGAAGGTGTCCTCTGTCGGACAGAGGCACCTCCAACCCATGGGTGCTTCTTACTGCCTGCATTGAAGATTAGGACAAATCAAAGGAAACACTGAATATTTAAGGTAATATTTACAAAAGAAAAACTTTTAGCTCTTTAATTTGTGTTGAAGCCCATTTCCGGATTTTTCCCTCCAGTGTCTAAAACTGATAATTTCCTCATTGTATTCTTCATTTAGGTTACTGCAGTTCGATGTACCAGTGGCCGTGCACTTTTGAGAAACTGTGGTTTTGTTCCTACAAAAGATTCAAATAGGTTTATTGCTGGACTGTCAAAAGAGTAAATGTAGGAAGCATACCACCATGATTTTGCCGGCTTTCCCCACTGTGATGCCAGAGTTTCTAAATCCAGACTCTACTGCCGCCATATGCTGTCGAAATAAACAAACAATAGAACATACACTGTAGAAACAAGCTGTAGAGTGCTGTGGCTCAATGTTATGGCATTGGACTTATGTGCAATTGTATTTGGATTCGAACCCTGACAAGGGAAAATGGTGCTTGTGTTCTTGGGCAATACACTTTACTACAATTGCCTCTCTCCACCAAGGAGTATCAATGGGTACCTGTGAGGGTAGAGTACCTGTGAGAGGTTAAGATCGTGCTGATTTTGAGCTACTGCAGAAAACTTGTTTCATGTCTTGTTGAACAGGGATAAACAAATTAAAAGCCCTTAGGGACTTTGGAATAAGCAGCACATTATTATTAAAGGGAATATACAACATTTGCAAACATCGAAAAATAAAACTACCAAGTTTTTGCGAAATACCTTAATAGGATGTTGGTAAATGACAGTCTAAAGCATCCTGTAAAATTATGGCACCTGGTATACTGTCATTTTCAAGAAAAGTGGTATTTTTGTATCAATTTCCAACGCTGATCGGCTGATCAGCGTTGGAAACAACTGGCTTTTTTTCAAATACTGGCCCCAATTGACCATTGTACTTGTTTGCAATCGATTACAAACCTATGAACGGGTACGAGCCAGCTAGACTGGTTCCCTGACCTTACAATTCCCCAATGTATGTAAACTGCTCTGTTTCTTCTTATATGGAGTCAGGGAACCAGACTACAGGAAAATGATCGTTTTTCTTGGTTTTTATAGCATTTTCGAACCCAAAACCTCCAAAAAGTCAGTGTAACTATATTTGCTATATATTTCCAACCCCCCAATTCCATCCATTTCTGAAAATTACAGCAAAAGCAAATGATGTATATTCCCTTTAATCGTTTTTTAGTGTAAGGCATCTATCAGTGCTATCCACTTCATTTAAAAAAATTATATTAGACAAGGGTAGTAACAATTCAAGCAACCACCATACAATCTGGTCACTTCACAGTTACCCATATAAACTCTTGGGTGGAGAGAGGCAATTGAAGTAAAGTGTCTTGCCCAAGAACATGCTTTTGTCAATCATGGTTGAAAGGGAAGTAAACTCAGAACAGATCCTTTCTTTAACTTCAATCTGAGATGGATTTTGTGACATCAGGCTAATAAATCTGTTAGAAAAGCTTCTTCGTGGGATACTTACCACCAGTTTTGCATCCTGCAATGCCCGACATTGTACATGGAGTATAAAAGGTTCAAACTTGAAGACTGCATTGCCTTGAAGATCTTTCAGCGCACTTTCCTGTTCAGGTAGATAAAAGAATCTGTATACATGCATTAATGAAACAAACACCTTAACCTAAACATTTCGAAAAGAAACACTCCAATACAATGTACAAGTTTCATCCATCTCAAAAACAGTTACAAGCTACTACATCACAAAAACCAACACTGTGTCATGTGCATGGAGCAATGTTAATGAAATATCAGAAAAATACTTACAACAGAGTCCAGGTCTGCCATCTTGTGTGAAACATACAGCCAGTGACAACCTTTCTTTTTGATAACATCATCGTCCTAAATCACACGTGAAAAAGGAATTCAACTTCAAAATGCTTTATTGAAGGTATAAAAATTTGTACAATTTGTTGCACTTGTTTTTTAAAAAAGAAGAAGCTGTTGCTATTTTTACAGTAGTCAACCACTGCGCATGCTCACTTGTCAACGGAATAAAAAAATCTACAGAGCCATGAATCAGAACGAAAAAGTTTATCTAAAAAGTAGAATTTGATTTACAAAAGTAAGAAATTATTTTGGGAACTAAAAAAACATTGAGATGAACCCTGCACCTCTGCACCCCTGCACCCAGCCACATCTATCCGCAGCACAATCACTGTAGCCTAGTGTAGGAATTAAAAACCTTTTATAGATTCGCAATGTTATGTTGCAATTCCATAACTTTAGTCATTGACATGATTGAAAAAAGCGTTACAGTTTCCGTGAAAATAGCCGCTCTACATTAAAAAAAAAAATAGGCTAAAAATCTTTCTTTTTTAAAGGAGTTTGTCAATTGTAGTAAATATTCAAACCACCATAGTAGGCCTAATCTTGGAAACATAGCAAAACATCATTACAATGGCAAGCTTCAGGTTTGGATAAATGTTTCAATCAATGCACTGAATGCGCTGCGCGCACGATCGTAGTGCAAGCATGTACATGTTAGTTGTTACACAGTCATGACAGTACAGCGGGCAAGCGACGAAAATCAACCCACAAGTTATACCTCACAAATGACGATTATGCGTCCAGAACAAGAACTTGTTGTACACAGGTAATCGGTATCATTTATACAATTGACCAAATCTACGATCTCCTCATCCAAGCTTCCCTTCTTGCTCAAATCCTGATTTTTCAGACGCGTTGTCTTAGCTTGAGAAAAGCCCAAGGGCGCCGCCATATTGGAAAATGTTGACAATCAACACGAGAGGGCGCTCTTTAAATTGACCATTGACCAATCATCTTCAACAAAAGTTCAAGGTTTTACGATAGAGCGGAACATGTAAAAATTCAACGAGCGAACAGGTCGAGTGAACTTGCGTAGAAACTTCACGTTATCAGGTTAGCCTATGGGCTCTAACTTTTGAAGAAAGCTTATGCAGAGGTAATGTAATGTTTATTTATTGCTGTTTGTTATGTGGTGTTAATTTTTTAAATAAAGAAATTCGAAGCAAATCTGTGATCATGCTTCAATTTAAAGTTTGTATAAATCTATCGAAGTGGCTATCGTTACGGCAGTCGTTGTTTAGCGCCCTCTTCGATACTTTTTTGATACGCACGCAGGTATAATTATTTGTTTCCCCACGTTTTAGCGAGCAGTGCGACAGCTCAGTCGATAGAGGGTAGGATTTTGCACCGCGAGGTTGCAGGTTCGCATCTCAGTTTTGCACTCAAATTTCTTTCCTTTTCTAACCTGAGGCTTTGGAGGATTTTTTTTAAAAGGGAAATAAAGTCCGAATTTCATAACGTTCAAATTCACTTTTTTCCTTCTATTCTTCTCATGTTTTTATAAATAAAAGTTGCAGTAGGCCTAGGCTACTACCATAACGATACTACGATAGAAAATGGGAAATGCGTTACGGCTGCCGTAACGATAGCCACTGCGATAATCTATATTATGTTTTCAGTTCCAAATCCAATGCAATGGTTCAGCCACATGACAACACATTGACACAGTCACAGGTCAAACATTTGTCAAAACCACTCCCGCTTTGACTTTAGTATTGATCAAGTTAGAGTCAAACTTCCAGTGGCACGAGAATACTGAAATCTTAGATTTTCATGAGATTTATGGAGAATTTACTGGTCAATAATGACGGTCCCTGGAGCATCGATTTTGACACGTCCATCTACATATGATACATGGCTAGCGCCCTCAAAAATGTGGCTGAATACTGGACTTTCTCCGTATGTTCAGCCACATAGTCATGTATGTAAAATGGCCAGAATGGTCCGTTGCTAAGCCAAAGGGAGCCGAAAATCAAATCAAGATCAAAATTATTTTAGGGGCTATCACTTTATAATCACCCCAAGTATTCTATAACTGATTAAAAGCAAAAAACAACCCACATTGAATTCATTACCTTCAGGCTTCAGAGGTCTAGTTTAATATCTTGTAATTTGGGGTTGAATTTGGACAAATTTCGGCTGCCATTGTTCACAAAAGCGTCATGCTGCAGCGCCCTCACTGAGCGTGCTTCATATTTGGGCAAAGTGCATCGGTACGGCTGTTGCCTGTCATTCAATTCTGGTCAGAAGTGCATGGTTGGTGTTATGCGAATTGATGACACGTCTTCATCGTCGCTTTGCCCCAAAATTTCTCTCAAAAAATAAAAACTCTGCCCTCTGTCTACGGCATACCTGTTGGTTTGTTATGTCGCTAACTAGTAAGTCCAGTAACCTAAAATTGGATTTTTGTTTAGGGAACAGGGCCCTACACTACACAATTGCCCTTTTTTCACTGTATATAACCAATGATGGTAAATCATCGCAAACATTTTGAAGTAACATGAATTTGGCACTGACAATCGACTGACAGAGTCTGAGAAACATTCTCAATTTTGTCAGAAATACTTCACAAATATTATCATGTGTACTCATAAATGTACTTAACCCTAACCACCCTGAATCCTTCAAAATCCTCTTTGCCAAAGTGGAGGAATTTGGAGGATTGAGGTTACATGGCAAAAGTGTGTTACTGATTTCGTAAAATGCACTTTGTCAAGGTCTTGGGCAAGACCTTGTGTTTTTTTTGCTCAGCCATGCATAAATATAGGCCTGGATTATGCTTGAAATCCTCCGTACTGCTCCAGGACGTCACTGGTCAAGCCTCAACATATTGACAGTCACTGCCGCAGAATTTTGCAGGATTCAGGCAGTGGTCACCTCTCCATGGACCATATTCAAGAGATAATGGATGAATTTGCAGGATTGAGGCTATGCTATTTTCCATGAGGCCAATTGGAGGATTTTGCAGGATATAGCTACGTCCTAGCAAAAAGACCTAGGGAGTTAGGGTTAATAGACTTCGTACACAACTGCCAAAGTGGCACTGAGATACTAAATTCTTACCCATTGCTTTCTTTTTCATTTCTTTACTGGTACATGTAACTTTATGTATGCAGCAGCAACACCTCCATTGAGCCATGTCAGTCAAGGCCAATCGTCCGTCAACGCACCTACAACAGCTCTCCACCGATCGTCGCTTCTCATCAGCTGGAGACAAAAACCACCCCAGAACAAAAGGAAAAGAAAACCACTTCCCCACGACGTCTCTAACGCCTGTGGGGAACGGCAGAAACACCCCCAAACGGAACCTCTTTCGTACCCCGACGCAGCGATTCAAGCCCGAACCCAGGACCCCGTTTGGCACCCCTGAGTGCTTCAACCGTGTGGAGTTTGAGACACCCAAGTTCAAGAGATCTGTAAGATGGGCCGAATCAGGAGACGACCCCCCAATCGGGGTAGATGAGGGTGACGGGTTCGGTGTGATGGTGGCGGTCAGGGTGAGGCCGTTCAGCGAAAAGTGAGTAATTGAGATGTTTGACCCATTAATCCCTGTACCGTCCCAAACCACCCTGCCTGTTTGTGTATAGTCTCATAAATGTGGCTCAAATACTGCAGTGTACACTATTTCATGAAGAGCATGAAGAGCGCAAAGTGAAGAGCGCGAAGTGAAGAGCGCACACATGATGGTGCAGTAGGTGCGCTCCCGCACATCAAAGACCAATGATTACTGAATGACAGGCAACAGCCGTCAACGCACTTTGGCAAAGTTGATGCACGCTCAGTGGAAAGCCCTCCCAATGGTCTCCCCCAACTCTCCATTTGTAACTGTTGAGTGGGTTGCTTGTTCAAGGGTCCATAGTTGAACATTCAGCTTTCGGCAAGTTCGGGCTAGGACCATTCATTTTCGACTAGTGGTTGATTCATGTCATAACTTACGCCTGCGCACTGATAGCAACGTGCGAACGCCTCAAGTCAAACGCTGGTCAAAACGTCATCACAAAACTTATTGGTCCTGGCTCTCCGTCGTGCATTATGATGCGGCCGTGCAAAAGTGTAACGAGGCACTGATTTTTGTGACTCGAGTCGAGTCGAGTCATTTCAAGGAAGTGACTCAAGTCGAGTCGAGTCGAGTCATTAGGTAAAAAAGGGCGAGTCGAGTCGAGTCGAGTCGAGTCGAGTCATTTCAAGGAAGTGACTCAAGTCGAGTCGAGTCATTAGGTTAAAAAGGGTGAGTCAATTTGAGTCACAGCGTGTGGTCAAGTCAAGTCGAGTCAAATTTATGCTTGAGTCAATTTGAGTCACTAATAGTTGGATCACAAACGTACGCAAACTGCGTATCCCGTCCACTGGGCTCTTGGAAGTGGTCAAAGAGCGCCCTCACTCGTTTGGGCACGGAGCTCATTGCTGTTCAAAAAAATTGAAAATTGTATACATCTGCAGGGAGAAGAACCAGCGCGACGTTAAATGCGTGGTGTCCATGAACGGGAATGAAACTGTCGTATCCGCCAAGCCGGGACAGACCAGTAGCTTCGTCTACGACCACTGCTTCTGGTCGTTTGACAAGGTCAGGGGTCACTTCTCCAGTCAGGAGACAGTCTACGAGAGGCTGGGGAGGCCGCTGCTAGACAATGCCTTTGAGGGCTACAACACATGCCTGTTTGCGTACGGACAGACTGGTTCCGGGAAATCCTACACGTAAGTAGTTGCTCTTAACTTCAAGTGGAATTTCAAATTATCATTGCACATAAATGTGAGTGCATGTACGAGGTTTTTAAGATATTGCACATTTGTACAATAGAGAGTTTTTAGAAAATGTACAGTTTTATTAACAAGTCGCACATATATCTTACAGCTAATTATTAAACATTAAATGTTTTATTTTTATAGGTTTTCCTGGCTATTTTAAAACGTTTTATCATTCAAATTCACCATTTCTAACATCTTATATTCAAATTTGTCCATCAACATCAATTTAGTGCACTTGCAATGTTCAATTTCGTCTTTTGTCAGACAATTTCAAATTCAGTTCTAGCAAATTCAAACAATGAGCACACGTTTTTGTCCCAGTGTATTCGATTTGGTCTCGTCTACGCCAAACCTTGTTATTCAGAAATCAAATTCGTCTAATTGATTTATATAAGACGAATTCGATCTCTGAATGCTGCCATTCAGTAACAGCTTAGACAAATTTAACAAATATTCTCGACCCGGTGACTAAAGAGGGTCACCAAACTTTAAAATTGGATGGTAATTGACTAAATGGATTTTGTTAAAAGCGTGTGAAATTTTTCGCGGACGAAATTGAATGATAGAGTTGGTCAATTGGGAAAAATCTAGGAAAAATAGCTGGGATAGCTGGGAAAACCTACATGTGTGTATAGTATCAAATTATTCTGCTTTTTTAACTTATATTTTTTGACAAGCACAGCTGCTCTTACAGTAATGTGCCGTATTATTGGAATAAGGTTGACTTTCTCTCTTCTTTTTTTTCTTCAGAATAATGGGTTACAATAAAGAGACTGGTGTGATCCCAAGATTCTGCAGAGAACTGTTTCGCAGAGTCGACGAACAAGGCCCAGAACAAAGGGTTAGTTGGCATTTTTTTCCTCAGCTTTTCAGAAAAAGGACAAATTTTTGTCAGTTCATTGAATGCTCAGGTACAGACTTAAAAGTCTTACGCCACAGAATGTTGAAGCAGTATACTATAAAACTATGCAAGAATTAAACTTTTTGAAATATGGTGGACACAATAAGGGTGCGCCAATTTATGGTGGCTCTGAGGAGACATACCGTAACCTGTCTTGAATATTTTTGCGCGGTCGTGAATTTGGTCACTACTGGTCGTGAATATTTCTGCATATTTTTGAATATTTTCACGACTGGGCGTGAATATTTTTTGCGACGTCTTGAATATGACTAGTCGCAGATTTTGGCGCAATTTTTTTTTCGGTAGCTTGGAGGGTATTTAACCAAACGATCTTGTCGGTGTATAAAAAATGCCCTCTATCGCCCGATAACGTGTAGGCGATGACCAACGTTTGATTAAATACCCTCCAAGCTACTGAAAAAATATTTGTGACAAAATTCCCGAAGTCGTAATATTCATTCACGATTGGTCGTTCAAACATGACAAAAGTATTCACGACCTCCTAAAAGAATTCACGACCAGTCGTGAATAAATTTCTGACGTCGCAAAAAATATCCATGGTATTGCAAAAATATTTACGACGTCGCAAAAACATTCACGACATCGCAAAAATATTCACGACCAGTCGTGAAAATATTCACGACATCGCAAAAATATTCACAACTGGTTATTACCCTTCAGGGCCACCATATTAGAGTGGGTAAACTCTTTTGTAATCACTAAAATTTAACCACTTCAAATAGCTCCCTCCTATTGTGTTGGCCATGTCTCGAAAAGGCTATTGGAATATTCCTTATTTGGCCATAAGCCCCGCCTACCTATGCAGTGTCTGCATTTCACACAGTGCTTGTAAACGACTTTGACTCGGCTGCCCCGTGGTCACCTGACTGGTCACCTGACCAAAAGTCGAGATCTAATTGGTCAATGCGCACTGTTTGACTGAAGAGTGTGGCACCCATAGAGTGGCATTCCTTATTTCAGAAGTTTTAAGTTTCTGTAAAATTTGTCAGTTGAAACTGTTTTATTTGTAAAGCTTTTTGTGTTTTGTTTTTTCAATTGAACCTCTAGGCCAAGTACACCATTGAGATCAGCTTCTTTGAGATCTACAACGAGAAGATACACGACCTGCTGGCAGCCACGACAGACTCGGACAAAGACGTTGGCAAGAAACGCCAAACGGTAAGAACATATCCAAGCACTTTAAAGAAATATGCACTTGAATCATACTTGAGATGATTTCTGTCAATTAACATTTGATTTTTAAAGTTGAACAAAGAAATTGACCAGAACAGGGTTTTCAATTTTTGACCTCTGGATTGGCATTCCCGCACTCTACCAACTTAGCTATCTAGCCCTTTGGTGGCGGTCCCCATTTTATCAATGTCTTTGTTCAAGGGGCGCTAGTCAGAAGCCATCAACCTGCAATTGCGGCCCTTGAACAAACGTATTGAGAAAATGGGGAACAGCCAACATAGGGCTGGATAGCTCAGTTGGTAGAGCACCGGAACGGCAATCTGGAGGTCGCAGGTTCAAACCCAGCTCTATTCAATTTTGTTTTTCAACTTTTAAAACTTATTATCCTTTGTGGTTATGTGAACATTTGCAAAATCAGACAGAGGCCCAAACTGCCAACCTTGTGACAGATCACAAGTACATGGCAAGACCAGTCACAAGTAAATCGTAGTGTTTTACTATTTGTTTTGAAACATTTACGTTTCAGCTGAGAGTTCGGGAGCATCCAGTTCTCGGTCCCTATGTGGAAGGCCTGTCAACGTAAGTAGTCATTTCAGAGATGCTGAGGTTTTTCGTTACAACTGAGTGAATGGACAGCAATGAGCTTCCTTTCACAGTATTCATACTCTTACTTTCAAACTTTGGCGTCATGTTTTTATTTGAACCACTTCGCGCTGGGATTATTGTGATTATTGTTTTTCACAAACCTCGATGCCAGACGGGTTCAGGCCGTCACCCTGATATTTCCGGCCTCGCTCGCTGCGAGCGGGTCGCAGACAGATATTCGGCCTCGCTCGTTGCGTGTTTATTCGTCATCCATTCGGAATACTGCAAAATCTCTGCTGTATACACATCATCCAACATGAACTGGTTAACAAATTGTTGTGTCTATATTTATAGGGTTTTAGCATTCTTTTGTGGTAAGAGACGTCAAAAGTTTTGTGCTTGCATCGTTGCAGGTTTGTTGCCAATTCTTATGGAGACATCCATAGCTGGATTGAGCTTGGCAACAAGCAGCGGGCCACAGCCGCGACGGGGATGAACGACAAATCAAGCCGCTCGCATTCCGTCTTCACAATTGTCATGACAAAGACTAAGGTACATTGTTCATTACCTGTTGGTTATTTCGTGGGTAAGTTATTTCATCTGAAATGAAGTCCCAGCTATACTAGGCTTGTCTAGTCTTATTAAAAAGTAAAATGTAAATTTCTTTGCAGACGGAGTTAATAGAAGGCGATGAGCACACACACAACGTGACCAGCAAAATCAACTTGGTGGACCTGGCAGGCAGCGAGAGATGCAGCTCAGCTCAGACCACCGGAGACAGACTCAAGGTTAGCGCGGAAAAATGCTCAGCGTAGAAAATATTTGTTAAGCAAAAACAGTTTACCAAGGTAAACAGGACCCAATTCACATAGATGCTAAGCATGGACATCTGCTTAGCACAGAAAGTTGCTAAGTATGGAAAATCGCAAGTGTGGAAAATTGCTTAGCATGGAAAATTAGTTAGCATGGAAAAGTGCTTAGCATAGAAAAATTTTAGCATGGAAAATTGCTTAGTATAGAATATTGCTCAGCACAGAAAATTGTTTAGCACGGAAAATGGCTTAGCACTGAAAATTTCTTAGCACGGAAAATTGCTTAGAACGAAAAATTGTTTAGCATAGAAAATTGCCTAGCATGGAAAATTGCTTAGCATGGAAAATTGCTTAGCACAGAAAAGTGCTAAACACAGAAAATTGCTCAGCGTAGAAAATTGCTTAGCAGGGAAAATTGCTTCACACGGAAAATTGCTTAGCCTGGTATACTCATTAGGATGGAAATTTGCTAAGCACAGATAAGTGCTCAGCACGGATAATTCCTCATCACAGAAAGCAGCTTAGCACGGAAATTGAGAAGCTTATTGTTTATTTGCAGGAGGGAGCCAACATCAACAGATCACTGATGACTCTTGGTAAAGTCATATCCCAGCTCGCCGAGAGCACCGCTCTCAGAAAAAAGAAGTTCTTCATTCCGTACAGGGACAGCGTACTCACGTGGTAAGAAAACTGACGGTTTCTAAATAAAGTCCTTATTTGGATGGGGTGGTAATTTTAAATTGTCACTTTTCAAAGGATGCAAGTTTTCATTTTGGAAAAAAGAGGCAAATGATTTGTGCTCAAAAATGTGTTTATCACGAAATGATAATAGTTGAAAATATCGTTCCAAAGCAGAATACAAATGTTCACACAAATAAACCTTGGAAATTAACTGTTTTCGTGTAAGTACTGCCAAAAAAATACAAAATTTTGTAAACAAATAGGGTTTTCCAATGTTTTCTCCGTAAATGTTAGACATTATGTAGATTTCATATGACCCAGACCTTTGGAAGAATGTAAAGTGAACAATCTAAAAATATGAATTGGTTTTTTTTTTTTTTTAGTCTGGCCGAAATTTAGCTTTAAATTTTGACGACTTCTAACCTTTTCTTCCTCTCAGGCTTCTGAAGGAAAGTCTCGGCGGTAACTCCAAGACGGCGATGATTGCAACCATCAGCCCATCCAGCTTGCACATTGACGAGACGCTTAGCACCTTACGCTACGCTAAGCAGGCCCGCTCCATCATCAACCTGGCCAAGGTGAACGAGGATCCCAAGGCAAGACTCATCAGAGGTAGGTTGACTGGATTTCCTCAGCTGGATTGGAACCCAGTACTGCAGGGATAGACTAGAGACCTCACCACATGAATAAGGATTTACTTCTTCGGAGGAATCGTCTTGTTAACCCTCCTAGTTGGAAGTCAATATTCAGAGCAATATGTAAAACCCTTTAAAACCCTGCAGGTCAGTTTCAGGTGAAGGGATATAAAGTGTTGGAGGATACTGAACAACTCTTGCAATATCTGTTTACAAGTCACCGTGGGTAGTTTCTGGAGAAGTTGTTAAGAAGTATGTCTCTAGTCATGTCACAAGTAGACTACAAGTCAATTCACAAATCTAAGTAAGAGGGGATGAACAGTAACATAGGAATGGTTGTGTTACAGTTCATTTGAATAGTTTGCGACTTGACTTGAGACTGTAGGGCTTGTGAAAACTAGTGAGGACTTGGGAGGACCTGGGAGGACTTGGTAAAACTTGTGAGGATTTGGGAAGACTTGTGAGGACTTGTGAGTACTTGGGACGACTTGGGACAACTTGTGAGGACTTGGTAGATCTTGGGAGGACTTGGGAAGACTTGTGAGGACTGGTGAAAACTTGTGACGACTTGGAAAGACTTGTGAGGACTCGGGAGGACCCTTGAGGACTTGGGAGGACTATGGAGGATTTGTGAAAACTCGTAAAGACTAGGAAAGATGTGTTAGGACTCAGGAGGACCTGTGAGGACTTGGGAAGATTTGTTAGTACAAGGGACGACTTGGAAGGGCTTGAGAGGAGTTCATTTTTTAAATATGTATTGTGCTCACCACATTAAAAAAACATCAACTCTGTTTCCTCCCAAAGAACTGCGATCTGAGATTGAGCGTCTCCGCGGCCAAGGCTTCACCACCCCGACCCGAGCCCCCCACCCCCCTGCGCCGAACCCCCGGGGGGATGTAGCGACAGACACCCACACAGAAGCCATCAAGGAATCCCTGGTAGAGATCGCAGAGCTGCGGAGGGAGTTGACGCTGTCCGAGCAACACATGAAGGAAGTTGAGGGATCATGGAAGGAGAGGCTGGAAGCCAGCGAGATGCGACGGGTCCGAGAAATTGAGGAGATGGAGGTAGGTTAAAGCCTCCTAGTCTTCTGCATGGAAGATTACCTCAAAGCAATTTGAAGTGTGGGTGCTAACTCGATGAGCAAAGGTGGTTTTGCAAAACTTGAAGGGTTGTGAAGTGCAGAAGTTTAAAGCTACAGTCCATCATTTGTAATTTGTGCATTTTGTTCGTTTGAAGCAACAAAAGAGTTCAAAATCTAATGAAAGATACTAAGCAACTAACCTGATGAAGTTTCAGCTAAGCTTCAGCTGTACATTCCGAGAAAAACAGCATTCTAAGATCTCAATTTCAAATCAAAAGTTACTGAATCATGTTTTGAATTGTTTTGAATTGCAGCTATACGCGGCGTCGCGCACTGATCCGACGAATTATAACAACCGCGCGCGTGTGCGTCGTTCCAATACTTGTGCGCGCTGCGCTGAATAACAAAACGAACTACTAATTTAAATTTTCCTACGGTGCTTCTTAAGAATCACCGTTGGAAATGCCTTCTTTCGTTGATTACTTCAAAATGACAGCTTCCTTGAAAGAATAATTTCACAGGGAGTTTAGTCCCCTTACTATCTTTCAACCAAGTTTGTTTTTCAAAAGTAATTACGCCAGTTACTTTTCGGATGGCTGCAAATGATGGACTATAGCTTTAAGAGGGTTAACGATAAATATATAATAAATTTACTATGATACCTTTTCTGCAGAAATTGGGAGTCGTCTTCAAGTTCGACAACACCCTGCCCAACCTGGTCAACTTGAACGAAGACCCCCAGCTGTCTGAGGTCCTGCTGTACGTCCTGAGAGAGGGACAGACCAGGCTAGGCAAGACGGACGAACACTCTGGCCATCAGATACAACTGGCCGGAGCGCTGGTGGCCGATGATCACTGGTGAGGGAAAGATTTTGTTGGATTTTGTTTGATATCCGTCAGTTTTTAGGATTTTTTTGTAGACTAGGCTTAGCAAGACAAATGAACACTGTGGCCATCAGATGATTATTTGCGTGAAAAAAATGTGTTGCTTCGTTCATTTGTTCCTAGTTTGATCAGCAACAAAGAGGGCGCTGTGACAGTTAGACCAGTGGGCGACGCACAGACGTTTGTCAACGGTCAGCTCATCTCCAGAACACATCGCCTCAAACATGTAAGTACTGATCCCTAAAAATAAAATATAGAAATAAAATATGTGGAAAAGAGGTTCTGAACTCTAACTCTGGAGTGGTTTTTTTTTTTTTTTTTTTTTTAGTGGTGTCCACATGGTGTTTTGAAAGGTGGGCAGCGGGTTTATGCCTTCCTGCTAAAGTTTGGTCACCCTGTGACAATTTGTAGTGGCCTCCTACTTTCTTAACGTAATCCCATTTCACAAATTAGCCCGTTCAAGGAATCTTCTATACTTGCGTTCTGTAAACCTCAGAACCACCTCCAATTGCAAAGAATCTGCAAATTTCTCCAAGTTTCCTTTCCGTGACGTAGTCAAGACTTTTTCTGACACCTCGCACAAATGCTTTTGTAAAGAACATCTGATTTAAATAGAGTCCACGAATAAGCCAATATTTGCTTGTAATTTTATTAGATTTTAGGATATAAAATTAACAAGATTTAAAGAGAGATTCAGGAAAACTCATGAAGAGAGAGCGTGGAGGGGAGTGTGGCCTAGTGGTATTATGACTTATGATCAGAGGTTTACCGTCATCAGTAAATGCAGTCTTGACAAAAGTTATCAGAAAATGGGCTTTGTTTCGATCGATACGCATAAGCGTCTATTTTGCATATGTCTGTCCCCAGAAAATTGACCAAAAACGAGCCCCCTATTATTAGCCATAAAATATAACTACCAAATTTTAATTTTCAAAAAAAAAACGCAAACAAAACAAATCAAATATTTAACAAGAACTGTTTGTAACAATTTGTCAAGTTGTTTATGAACATTTTGTAAATGGAGGCAAAATATGTAATGTAATGTTATAGTCACGTGGTATATAGTCCGCTATATAGCACGTGGTATATAGCGCGCTATATAGCACGTGGGGGTGGTATATACCGCGCTATATTTATGGGAAACTTATTGGGCTTCTTTTGTTTAATTTTCGGGGACAGACTAGCGAGATAGTGCAGCATGATTTTCGGCTGGGACGGCGGCCCGGGCTTGTATACAATCATTTCATGCAAGATTTCTATGCAAGACGGCCAGAGCTTATTGTGCACTCGCATTTGTTACTCTGAAAAACACACTTTTATCTTAAAGTGAATGGTGACTCTAATATTCCTCCATCAAATAGTGAACCCTCTAGGCATAAGAGGTCTCAAAAGGTCTCTTTCTCTCTCCTTGAATTTTTCCCAGGGCGACCGATTGGTTGTTGGCGATCACTACTTCCGGTTCAACCACCCGGGCCAGGTCCAGGACAGATCCAAGCTCTCGGACAACTCAGTCGGTGCCGTGGATTTTGAGTTTGCAAGGAATGAACTGGTCGCCGCTCAGAGTGCCAGGTACTGTGTCTCTTACTGAATATTCATCTCTTAAAATTTAATGTTCATCTTTGAAATGTTTATATTCTGAATATTTATCTTTCAAATTAAATTTGCAATCCTTCTTGTAGCTTTCAGTTGTTTCTTTTCCGATTCTTTTAATTTTCAACTTTTCATCTACTGAATATTCATCTTTCAAATCACTTCACACTTTATGCCATTAAAAGTTGAAAAACACTGTTTAAAGTCTTGTAAAGATAGGAGTTTCCTCTTTTTTCGTTAATTCCAAGTTGCATGCCTGTTAATTGCATACAAGTATATGTATGTTACTATAAATTTTGTTCAAATGGACACTGATGATATACATTTTTCAAAAATATTGTTTTGTGTATTTTTTTGTTTACAATTCTGTAACCACCTGTTTTCCTGTAGATTGGAAGCTGAAGTTGAGGAGGAGAGACTGAGGAATCACAGAGAGAAACTGGAAGGAATCAAACGTGCACAGGTAAAGTCTTGATCCCATTAGTACTGTGCTACAGTGTATTGCAGGCCAATTCCATCATTATGAAAGGAAGTGTAGTGTTCATGGCAGAGCCAGTTAACCATGATATCTAATTAGTAATTTAGAGAAATGATCCAAAACTCCTAGTCTGTAATCTCCTTGCCCATTACTAGATGATGGATGTATAAGATTTGAAGAAAAAAAATACATTTTCAGGTTTATTCACCTTGTAAAGCTCTGTCACAAACAATGCTGGAATTGGCCCGATGTATTCAGTGTTTCTGTGAAAAGTGTCTGGGGCTTTCTATCTCCTCTGAGATCTAGGAGATAAAAAGGATTTGTTTTGTTTCTGTTTTAAAAATTGACAGAGGTGGTTTGAATTTCATTTCTCTCTCAGGAAGCTGCTCAACTGGAGCTTGACGAGCAGAAAAAGAAGTACGAGTCTCAAATACAGCAGCTCTGTCTTCAGTTGGTAAGAAGCACGTTTATACCCTTAAAGAGGTTGTGGAATGCTCGAAGACATTTCCGTCATTTTTCGGATATAATGTAGCCTAAGGTGTGATGAAATAAAAACGACTATTGTGTCTGTCATGAAATGAGTACAAAAGGTACTTTTGAGAGCTGTTTTTCAGGTCCTGTTTCGACCCGAACGTGCAATTTGTGTAAAAGTCGTCGTTGGGGGCAGCAAACAAAACATAGTAAATCGTGACGTAATAAACAGGACTCCCGATGCAGCGTTGTATAAACGAGTCCTGTTTATAAGTCACGATTTACTATGTTTTGTTTTCTGCCCCCAATGACGACTTTTACACAAATTGCACGTTCGGGTCGAAACAGGACCTGAAAAACAGCTCTCAAAAGTACCTTTTGTACTCATTTCATGACAGACACAATAGTCGTTTTTATTTCATCACACCTTAGGCTACATATACCCGAAAAATGACGGAAATGTCTTCGAGCATTCCACAACCTCTTTTTTATAACTGTATAATTTTAATATTATTAATTAATTTCATCAACAGCCAATCATGGAAAACTGCGATAAATACAGGATTATAGATTAAATTGTATACTAAGTAATAATTAAATATTAAAGGATTGAAATGTAACTTTTAAATGATAAAAACAAAGTTTTGACATGTTGATTGTCTTTTTTCGGGGGGAAGGGGGAGGTTTTTTGCAGTGTCAAATTTTTGTTTTTGATTTTTTTTTTGTAGGAGCAGCAGATTGAAGAGAAGGAATGTCTGGACCATGACCAGCAGAGCACTGACAAACAGATACACGAACTCAAGATGGAAAATAAGGTAAAAGCTGGTTTTGTTATGACTAACAGCCTGTATATTATAGGGTGGCATGGGTGGTGCAGTGCATGAAGCGCTCGCCTGTCACCCATGTGGCCTAGGTTCGATTCCCAGCTCGGGTCATATGTGAGTAGAGTTGTACGTTGGTTCTCTCCTGTGCAATGAGGGTTTTTCTCCGGGCCCTCTGGTTTTCCTCCCTCTGCAAAAATCAAACACTTTCGATCTGGCTGTGCTCCGTAGTCAGACATGGGTCATATGGCGACTTATCAGTTATCAAACTTTTTAAATTTCTGAATTAGATTTTGGAGAGCCAGGTATCCAGCAGCCGGCGCCGGCTAGAGATGGAGGTCCAAGCAGCCCAGCAGAACCTAGCCGACACCAAGGCCTACCAGTCACACATCTTCCTGGAGCTGGGCAGAGAACGGGAGAAAGCCGAGAAGGAGATGGAGAAAATGAAACGGGCCAAGGAGAGACGAGAGAACGCTAAGAAAACGGGAGCCGGTGAACTGGGTATGTATATTTGGTTGTGGGTGGGAGTGGGGAGGGGGGGGGGGGGGTGGTAGAGTGGGAGGGGATGGGGATTTGGGAGAAACAAGAGAATGCTAAGAAGGTGGGGGCTGGAGAACTGGGTTTGTATATTTGGGTGTGGGTGGGGGAGGGAGGGGTGGTGGCAGTGGGTGGGGATTTGGGAGAGACAAGGGAATGCTAAGAAGGTGGGGGCTGGAGAACTGCATTTGTATATTTGGTTTGGGTGGGGAGGGGTCGGGGGTTGGGAATTCCAAACCACGGTTTAATTCCAGCTTCATCTTCAACTGTGGTTCCAGGATCATTTTGAACCCTTTTAGGCCAAGTTAAAAAAAAAATAGTTTCTTGTCCGAGCTTTTTGAAAAAAGGAAGGAAGGGGGCCCTTTTTTCCCTCCAAGATGGCACATAGATTCTTTCATTTTCTCGATTCTTTTTCTGACACTTTTGGGTCCGAAGGAGCCATCACCCTTTCCACCAGCTTTTGAACTACACTACAATTTTGCTGAAAACAAATTGTAAAAAATATATTGCACATGTATAATAATAAAAGGTCTGGTTTTTTGGGGGCTGAGTTTTCTGGGCCATGATTAATGCTTATATATAATCAACGATCCCCTAAATGTGTTGTTTCTCATTGCAGCTTCGACGGCCAAGAATAGAAGGAGCCTTCTGCAGCTATCCATGTGGCTACAAGAAGCCAACAATATCAGCAGGAAACTGGACAAGCACACGGTGAGTAGAAACCATCTCACAACATTGATGGACTCGGCTTTGGTGACTCACGAGCAGAGGGTCAGGGGTTCAATTCCTTCCACCTGCTGGCCATATGTTGTGTTCTTGGTCAAAAAGAAGCTTGGAAAAACTTGTATTTTTTTCCTTTGTAGGTTTTCAACCGTCAAGATGTATCATCCACTAGTACAGGGTCCTCATCCCTAGATCTCCAATCGACAGTCCAAGTCCGAGTTACAAACAACCATCTTGGTATCATCACCTACTGGTCCCTGGCCAAATTTGAGGACAAGCTCATCCAAATGAGGGAGATGTTTAAGGTAAGAACTGAATGATGATGGAGGTTTTTGAAATTGTGGCTTTGTCTGTGACTTTGGCTTTAGGTGATTTTAGGGCCCCTGGTTTTGGAGACTTCCGCTGCATCCCAATTACGTGGCTTACGGCTGGAAATTACACACGCGTCTATGTAAGATGCTACAGCCACTTCCCATAGACCCGTGTGTTATATCCAGCCGTAGCCAAGTAGTTTGGACACAACCTTACACCAGTTTCAAACCGAGGGATGTAGTCGAGTCCATCACAAGTCCCTGCAAGTCCATCACAAGTCCTCCAGTCCCAATTCAAATCACAAGCTATTCAAATAAGCTTTGACAAAGGCATTCCTTTGTTATTGTTCATCCACTGTTACTTGTGACTGGACTTGTGATGGACTTATGTCTAAGGCTCATGAGAAGACGCTGTGGCTTTGTCCACGCTCAAAATAGCATTTGTCATGCAAACATGTACTTTGCGCTTTATGTACGCGAACCTGTACGCACACTCAGTCCCGTCCATGTGGCTCTCATAAGTGGTAAAAAAGCACCCTCTTTCGTATGCGCAGGGAGCCCATATGGGGCAAAGTTCAGAGTATTTCAATTTGGTTTAGAACATTTAAATTCATTAAAGCCCTTTAATTAACCCTAACCCCCGAGGACCTTTTTGCTGGGAACCATCCTCAACCCTCCAAAATCCTCTAAAATTTTGCACTTATGTTCAAATGAAGGATACTGAGCACCTTAATCCTTCAAAATCGTCAGACAGGCCTGCCTCTCAAAATGCGTTCATCCTCAATCCTCCAAAATGTTCATGTGCTATACACCATTCATCCGCAATCCTCCAAAATCATCATGTGCTTCAACACCATTCATCCTCAGTCCTTCAAAACGCTCATGTTTCTCAAACAACATCCATCCTCAATCCGCCAACATCCTCATTTGCTTCAACACCATTCATCCCCAATGGAGGATTGAGGTGGGTTATGGTTTATACAACAGAATTTCAAAACAGCAAAAAGTGAATCTAATCATTTCTTTCTGTTGTTCACTCTCAGTCTGCAGGGAGGGGAAGGGATTCCGTTGACGACGACGTCTTTTACGATCCAAATGACGACTGGGAAAAAGACTACAAGATTGACTCGCCGATGACGCCACTGAAAAGGTCAGGGGTCGTATGTGCCAACAATTGGCCAAATGCTGAACTAAATAGGGCACCAAATTTTCAAGGGAAGTCAATAAAACTTTTTTAAAGAAAACTTCTTCAATGTAGTCATGAAAATCTTTATAGTTGTGCTTAGGCTTAAAATTTCAAATGATTTGGTTCAACAATTCGGGCGATTCACAATGCAGTGCACCACCAAGAGTTTGCCACAGAGAGTTCATTTTTCCTCGTGCATTGTGGGAGATGGTCGACAAATTCGCAGCTCGGGACATTTGAAATTGTTAATTTTTCCGGTCAATTGTTTCGTAAGCGTATGATTCGAATATCTGTTTGCCCCATTTCTTTTCACTTTATCAATATGGTGTTTTTTTGTAAGGCGGCAGAACGCCATACCCCAATCTTTGACAAATTAGCTCAAGTTGTCTACTGACACTCATTCAAATGGGCCATGTTTTGTCGACCGTAAACTTTAAAAAATGGACTCTCCGCGGCAAACTCTTGGTGGCGCACTGCATTGTGAATCGCCCGAATTGTACTTAATGTTTTCTGGAACATTCCTCTAGCTCAATTAGAAAAAAAATGTACTCCCGTACGAGTGCAAGTCCGAAAAAAGTTATTAAGTTTACAAATATTTTTTTTTACATCTGTGACTAGATGCTTCAAAGGTTCCTCCACTCCAAATCGCTGGGCTTCCCTGACCAACAGTAGTAGTGGCTCCCCCCGGCTTGGCTCTACAACAAGTCTTGGTGAGTAAAAGACCAAACAATATATCGTTGTTTGATCTGTTACAATATTCCATTTCTGTTAATGGTTTTCTTGAATTTTAATCAAATCGTCGTAGCCTTTAATTGTAGGGGCCTTCATGAATCCTGGAAAATCTTCCAATTTAAAAAACAAATCCATTTTTAAAATCAAGGCATAGTGATCATGACGTCACAAAATATTATGTCCGTACTGACTCTTCCTCAATCATACAAAATCCTAAAAAACCTTTTTGAAATTTGGAAGGTAAGGATAAATGCCTAGCCTAGATAAATACCTTGATCATAACTGATGCAAGCGCGAAGCCCTTACGGCGTGGGGTTCGGGGCCCGCTTAAGGGCCCCTAAAAAAATTGGATTCTAGATGTTCTGTGGTGTGATTTGAAGCAATTTCTTACGACTTTCCTCCATGCTTTAACTAATATTTTCTTGGCAAAAGATAATTATTTGAACATCGTTTTCGAGGTTGGAGACATTATCAGCTATCGGTATTCTGAGCTATTGGCGTGGGGTTCGGGGCCCGCTTAAGGGTCCCGAAAAAAATTGGATTTTCGATGCTCTGTGGTGTGATCTGAGGCAATTTCTTACCACTTTAACCAATAATTATCCTAGCACAAAAGATAATAATTAAAACATAATTTTTGAGGTTTTCTCAGCTAAAGGCATAAGAAAATTTTGTGAACATTGTTTTCGAGGTTGGAGTCATTGAATCAGCTACCAGAATACTGAGATTTTGGATTCTAAATGCTCTGTGGTGCTATCTGAGGCAATTTCTGACCACTTTAACCAATATTTTCTAAGCAAAAGATACATTGTAGTACATAATAGGGCCCATGGCGTCATGTAGATCAATGATAATTTTTTTAGAAACTCAAAATTTCAGTGGGGGGGCGACTGGGGGGGCGACAAGGTTTCATGGGGGGGCGGACGCCCCCCCACGCCCCCCCCCCCTGGTGGCTACGCCACTGATGCCTAGTCTTTGCACGTCTCTGAGTTTCTTAAGAGAGTGTACTCTCCTCAATCCTTCAAAATCTTACAAACCATGATTTTGAAGGATTTGGGAGGGTAAGGGTTAATACGTAGTCTCGGCAAATCTCTGTCTTTCTTTTCTTCCTCTATCCTACAAAACCTTCCAAATCTTGATGGATTTTGTAGGATCCGGGAGGGTTAGGGTTAATGCCTAGTCTCTGCACATCTCTGTGTTTCTAAACAGACTGTGCTTACCTCTATCCTATAAAATCTTGATGTATTTTGTTGGATATAGGAGGGTAAGGGTTAAAGTCTAGTCTTAACAGACTGTAGTTCCTCAATCCTACAAAATCCTACAAATTTGATGATTTTGGTAGTATCTGGGAGCGTTTGCATATCTCTGTTTTCTAAGCAGGAAGCACACGTAGCCAGAGGACTTCCATCAACCATACAGGACTAGCGAATCTCTGCCGGTCATTTCTAAAGTCCATCTCGACTGACCGTCCACACTTCCACGAGATGACCATCGCTGACCGTGTCCTGGCGGCCATGCAGAGGGTCAAGGGGGCCGTCGCAAGGCTGCAGGAGACCGACCTTACCAGGAACGAGGCTTTCGCGGATTCCGGTAAGAATTCTATTCCTAGATTGTTAGGAATTCATCTAAAGTTTGCGAATACAAGTGTAGACATTGCCTGAATGTGAAAGTACTTCCCTGCTCATATGATGTGGAAATAACAATTTGAGTCAAAAACAGAATTACCGACAAGATTATGAGTTAAATGCATGAGGCCACAAAATCATCAACACCTACCGGTAGTTTACGTAGAAGTGTCTTTATGCACAGAAGAATTACATTGAAAAGAGCATGTATCCAAAGTTTTGTAAAAGTTGCTGATTCCTGTAGCCCATTGTAAACGAGTACTGATGAATGAAAGGTTTGCGGAAACACCATGTGGGAATAATTTCTCAAAGTAAGAGAATGGTTCTCAAAAAGAACCAAAGGCATAAACTTGACGTACCAGTCAGTATGCTCTGACCGTCTTCAAGAGAGTCTCTCCTGAAGACAGTCAGAGCATACCGACCGGAACGTCGAGTTTATGCCTCTGGTTCTTTTCAGAACCATTCTCTTAGTTGGAGAAGTTATTCCCACATGGTGTTTCCGCAAACCTTTCATTCATTTATATTTCCACCATGCAAAGCCTCAAATCTTACTTAAACGAATACTGTTTCGGAATATCTACCAAGGATGTCGAATTGTAGCTAAGCAGGTGAGTAAACCAGCAGGCGCACCTTGTACGGAAGTTTTTCTGTTGTCAACATTTAGTTTTGCCCTGCACAGATGTAGTTTTATAAGCAGTGAATACTCAGTGCTCTCCGAGACCTTGTGGGCAAAATTCACTGTGGGACTCGAACCCATGACGACCTACTTGCTAGTGCGGAAGTCTTGCCACTAAACCTCTGAGCTTTCTAGGGTTGGCTGGCTGGTTCAAATATGATATAGCGGTGGCTACCGCAATCAATCTGTGTATTTTTACTGCTTAAATTGTTCTTGATGCGTCTCTTAACGTTTAGTTGTTTTGCACCTTTTTATACTGTCTCAGGAGACTCTTCTGGCCCAACAAGCGCAGACCAAATGTTGCTGCAAGCAACGTGCTCCATGGAGCTCCTCACCAGTCTTATCTCCATGTGGGATTCGAACCCCGGCCATTCAGTTAAGAGTCCAGAGGCTTCAGTCGAAGAATCCCAGCGGGAACTCATGGAACAGATGGTCGACACGTGCCGGAAAACTGCCGGCCACCTGATGAAACTTCTACAGGTACTGATTTAAAGATAGTAATGGCACTATTAACTCCCTGTGAAATTATTCTTTCTGGCATGCTGTCATTTTGAAGAAAACAATCAAAGAATCATTTCCAAAGATGCGTCTAACTTTGGAAAATTTACGTTAGTAGTTCGTTTTTAATTCGGGGAAGCCGTAAATTGGTTGCTCGCAAGCACTGACACGACGTACATGTGCACGCGCGGTTCAGTGCGTAACATCGCGTAGCTGCAATCGGCTGAATGAGAACGTGTCCCGGATGCTGATTTCGGGTGCAATTCAAATCATGACTCGGCAACTTTTGAATTGAAATCGAGATCCTAGAATATTGTTTTTTCGGAATATACAGCATTCACTGAGCTGAAACTTCATCAGATTAGTTGTTCAGCACCCTTCTTTAGATTTTGAGCACTTTTGTTGCTTCAAACGAAAAAAATGCACAAATGACAAGTAATTGTTTCTTTCCTTCAGGGTTGTGACGGTGACATCGACAGCATGATCACCGAAGCCCACACTCAGATAGCACAGTGCCTGGTCTTCCTCGCTAAGCTCGTGGGAGAGGTCTCCATGAACGCCGGCTTGAACGTTGTGACTTTCAAAGACAGGGACGATCAGCAGGACCACAATGCAGTAAGTTCGCTTAAGGTCTGCAAGTATATGATTACTTTTTGGATCTTTTAAAGGTTTCCGTTTTTGGCTTTGATTTTGATGGCTATGACTTATCATTGACTTACCTTTTCAGAACATGGTTCCTGACATTATTTTCACCAAACAGGTGCAAACAGTATTGGGATTGACTTATGATGACTTATGATTGACTTATGATGACTTATGATTGACTTGTGACACTTGTAATTTACTAATGATGACTTGTGAATGGCTTACGGTGACTTATGATTGGCTTGTGATGACCTTGATTGGCTTGTGATGACTTATGATTGACCTGTGATGATGTACGATTGACTTATTATAACTTATGGTTGGCTTATGATTGACTTGTGATGACTTGTGATTGACTTATGTTTGACTTATGATTGACTTGTGATTGACTTATAATGACTTATGATTGAGTTATGATTGGCTTGTGATGACTTGTGATGGCTTTTGATTTGCTTATGATGACTTACGATTGATGTATGGTGACTTATATTGGCTTGTGTTGACTATGATTGGCTTGCGATGACTTACGATTGACTTGTGATGACTTGTGAGGGCTTCACTACAACTCTGGATAAGAAAGACTTGAGGAAATTGCAATTATATATTGTCTTACAGGTGGACCCAGAGTTGAAGCAAGGCTTCCTCAACGGAGCCGACGTCTTGGTCGACAAGACCCTGCAGCAAGGACTGAAAGCTGTGACCAGCTGTGAGGCCGACCTGCAGGTCATGCTGGGACCAGACAGCCGTCTGCCCAAGGTGAGTCTATTATAAAAATCTGATGCCTTGTGATTGAGTTGCGATGACTTATGATTAGGTTGTGAACTTATGATTGAGTTGTGATGACTTGTGGTTGACTTGTGGACTCCATGTATGGACAATAGAGGGCGCTGTGTCACTTGGAACTTGTGATTTGTGATTGAGTTGTGATTGACTAGTGGTAGCTCGTGATTGGCTTGTAATTGCCTTGTGATTGACTTGTGATGGCTTGTGACTGACTTGTGATAATTTGTGATGACCTTTGATGACTTTGTGGTGGGTTGTGATGACTTGTGATTGACTGGTGGACTCCATGTTTGGACAATAGAGGGCGCTGTGTCACTTGGCTCTTGTGATTGAGTTGTGATTGACTTGTGATAACTTGCTATGACTTGTGATTGACTTGTGATGGCTTGTGAATGACTTGTGACGACCTTTGATGACTTTGTGGTGAGTTGTGATTGACTTGTGATTGACTGAGTTTTTTGGGCTTTTTTACATGCATTATGGTCTATTCCATAGAATTAATGCTGAGACTGTTCTTTTATAATTTTCTTATTTTTTTTCTTGAAATTTACTTTAAAATTAAAAAATTGTTATCAACTTTTCCCTCCAATACCCATTTTTTGGGGGCAACTATTGCGATAGGTATGAATACTACTAGACAAATTTGTTGAAACATTCTTTTGTATTGATGTACATTTAGTTAAGGCCCAGAGCCAAAAACATAACCTTTTTATCCTACATTGTAATAGCAGCGAAACAATAATTATTCTCCTGAAATTTGTTATCTGTAACTTTGATTTAAATTCCTCATTTGACAAAACCTGGAAAGAAACGTCCCCCGTGACATATCAGCCCCGTTGTATTTTTAGGCAAACCTCACAGCGTCGTTCCTTTACAGAACTTGGACGCTGTCAATTTCAATGACGTTCAATGCCAGTGTGACATTTTTTTTTTTACCCGAGGAATCCAGCCTCGTCAGGCGTTTGCCCGCGGGTACTTAAATGGCAGTTAACCCGTTTCGTATCGGGTTATTCCGATCGTAAAGGCTCGCCGACATGAATGGGATTTAATGGGAGTTCCACCTGTGTCTCTCTTGTCAACTGTCCGTTGACAAATTAGCCGCGATATTGCTAATGTCGGACCTAACTGATAGGTCTTCAATTTTGTTTGTCATACATTTGTAAGGGGGGGGGGGGGAGAGATTAAACAAGGGGTAACTTTGAGAAATGGCCCACAGTTTTTCTTGTTTGATTTAAAGTTTTTGTTCAAAAATACGGACGAGGCAAGGTAGTTATGCTAGTCCCAGAGTGCACACAAAATTTCAGTTTACATGTGTGGCTTTACGATAGAGGACAGACACAAAGGGAGAACAAAAGATCCTCTCAGTCCTCGAGCGTTGGGTCTTTTGTTGAAAACTGTCCTCGATCGTAGGGTTATGTGCTTAGTCTATTGGAGAGTGTTATATTACAGGGACAAAGGGAAACACAATGCATTGTCCTCGGGCGTATAAGAAACTGTGATTCAGAATGGCTGTTCACTGGAAGTCTTTTCATGCATCTGGTCTACATAGTGGGCTGGATTAAGCCCATTCATTGGCGTTACGGGGGAATCCTATATGATAGCACTGCCCGGCTCACAAGCGACAGTCTGTTAGTCAGTCTGTGAGTCAGTCGGTCTGTCAGGGAGTCAGTTTGTCAGTCAGTCAGTCAAACTATTGCACTGCCTTGCTCTCTTATAGCAGATAAACTCGTAATGGTAACAAAAATACCTATGTAGGGTTAAAAACATAGTCAACTATTCATGTACATGTAAAAAAAATTGTGTGTTTATGGTTGCGCCTGAACATTATCCAGTTAGGCTAGTTACGTACCGGTAAGTAGGATAAATTTTGGGGTTTTTGGGTGGAATTTTTTTAACACCTGTTTTATGTTTGACTGTACCGGTAGGTATTTTGTACTTAATTTGTTTACTTTAGGGTTTAATTGTTTGTGTGTCGCCTAGACAAAGTTATTGTATGACCGGTATGCCGTAGACCTGTATGTTAAAGTTTTGAAAAACATGTATAACTTCTACATACTGTCTTGGATTTTGATGAAATTTTGATGATTGGATCTTGTCAGCTGGTAAATAATTGTGTAAACCTTGCAATTGTCTCCAAAATATTATAGCCACCCTCTAAAAAACAAAAAAAACAAAAGTGTAGGAAGTCCTGGCCCAGTCAACAGTAACCCAGAGGCTGGCTCTAAACCAGGATTTTACTTTAAACCACCCCCTTCGCTCCTCCCCACCCCCAACAAAAACACACACCAATAAAACCATCACAATGATGCAGCAAACTTCAGCCCATCAAGGCGAGTTGTCCACTGGGACTGATCCTCACCAACAACATTTGTTACTTGATCCGCTGGTCTATTACCCACAAATTAATTCCTGATCCCAACGGCGGGGAAACCAAATACCCCTTATCCTTTCCTGCCAGGTTGCCCCCCCCCCCAACATTTGTTTGCCCCGCCCCTTCTCCCCCAATCCATCACTGTAATCGTTTGACATTGACTTCTTGAACGGGAATCAAAATAGGATCATGCAACTTCTGCGGGTCAGGCCATGAGAAATTTATGTTTCTCGGCCCTGTTTGTTAAAAAAAAATAATAATGGCCACTCCACATTTAAAGTTTTATACAATGTAACAGACTTGAGTTTTGCTTGATGGAGATAGCATGGTCACCTGACCAATGGCTAGGATCTGATTGGTTAATGCGCTGTGTTTGATTGACAGTCCGTGCGGTTGTTGATCAATTCAATTCCAAACTTTACCAACTTTTAGGAAGAAATTGTCCAAAAGTGTTGGCAAGAAAATATTTTTGACTGAAGATGGTTCAGTTCAAGGAAAAATGTTGGTTTAATTTAGGTAAACATTTACCAACTTTTTAGAAAGAAATTGTCCAAAAATGTTGATAGTACACGTAAATAGGAAGAAACTGTTCTAAAGCGTTGACGGGAAAGTATTTTTGACTGAAGTTGGTTCAATTCAGGAAAAAATTTTGGATCAAAAGATGGTTAAAAAAATACCAACTTATAGGAAAAAATGTCCAAAAGTGATGCCAGAAAAATGTTTTTGACTAAAGTTGGTTCAGTTCAGGAAACACAATTCAGGTAACAATTTACCAATTTTTAGGAAGAAATTGTCCAAAAATGTTGGCAGTAAATAGTTTTGGCTGATGTTGGTTCAGTTCAGGTAAACATTTGGTTCAATTCAGGTAAATAAAAGTTCACCAGCTTTTAGGAAGAAATTGTCCAAAAGTGTTGGCAGGAAATATTTTTAACTGAAGTTAGTTCAGTGCTGGTAAAAATTTGGTTCAATTCAGGTACCAACTTTTAGGGGGGGGGGGAATGGTCCAAAAGCGTTGGCAGTAAATATCTTTCATTGAAGTTGGTTCAGTTCAGGAAAAAAAATTGGTTCAAATCAGGTAAAAAATTTCCAACTTTTAGAGAAAAAAAATTGTCCAAAAGTGTTGGCATGAAAATATTTTTGACTGAGGGTGGTTCAGACCGTGAACAACTGCCCTATTTTTAGAAAAGGCAGCTCTTTTTTTTTTACTGTCTTTTAGGGTTGGGGTTATAAAACAACATCTACATCTTCCCTGGCCCATCCAACTCTTACAAAAAAAATAACTCAGCTTGTCTTGAGGTTCAGTGGCAATGCTCAAGTTTTTATTTTAGGATTGACCAATTTTAATGTCACGCCCGTAATTGTGTTCAGCGATACATTCTTGGCAATGGATTGGAACTTCCGTTGTAATTAAATTCACGCTGACGTCTTCTCTTTGCTGACGTTGAGTGGATCATCTTTCAGCTATTTGTAAAGGAAGAGCATTGGACAGTTATAATTTCAGGTCCAGGTGTTTTGAATCGAAGCGGATTAGGCGGGCTCCAACAGTCATTTTATTATTGAGCCATCCCACAATATTTGTTGCGCAGTTGATAGGAAAAAAAGATCAAGTACACAGCAATCTGCAGAATCTAGAGCTGCAAAAATTTCCTGAGTGTTAAAGTTTTGTTGACTAAAAGAATGGTTACCTGCTAATATGCTGCATGATGTCTACTGAGTATGACTGGTTCTCTGCTTATTTTGTGTTTAGCATATCACCTTGCTAAGCAGTTTGTTTACTACTTATTAGCTGCTCCGCTATATGGGACCTGGATCTCTAAACCTTACATGTTGGTACTTTGTATTGTAATTTGCCATGCAAGTATCCCAAAGAATGACTTCATATGATTTTTTTTATTTGTTGGGTAGGTAGTTTGCTTTATAATCAGTCTTGGAGGATGACTGCAATTAAAGCAGTGCATCAGAATGATAAAATCTAATAAGATTTAGAGACAGGGACAAAAAAGTGGACCCCAAATAAGTTTCTTGAGTTGGTAAACAGTTTGCTAGGGAGCTTACCCCCAAAATGTCTCTTCGTTGACAAAAAGGGTTAGAGCAGCTTGTGATGAAACTGTTTCCACGTAAGGTTTTGCTGGAACCAAAGCTCCTGCCTTTATTGTCCTCTGACCGACTAACTGACTGTCTGACTGATAGACTTACTGTCTGTCACTTGTGAATTAGACTTGCTTAAGTCTCTCATTGACTGACTGTAACTTGTGAATTAGTCTGGTTGGCTATCTCGCTTACTGACTGTCACTTGTGAATTAGACTGGTTGTGTAAACTCACTGGCTGACTGACCGTCACTTGTGATTGTGAAATTAGACTGGTTACCTATTCCCATCATGTTACCACTGCAGTTTATTTTACCATCTTTTTAGCCATTCTAGACCAACTGATGATAATTTTGAGCACTCTGGCACCAGCATTACTAGGCCTGCCTGGCCTTGTTTTCTGCAGTCGAACCAATCCCCTAAGACCGAATGTTCCTTCATTCCATCATTGTTTGCAGCCCAGGATTGGACTCATAGAACAAGTGATGACAGTTTCTGTCAAGGGAGTTTCCTG